GGGCTGCAGGCAGTCTCCCCACAACCGGAGCAACGCTGATCGCCGCCGGGGGAACGACGGCGATCAGGTAAGTAACGGAAACCGTTAGGACGGTTCAGGACCGTCATCGGTCCTCAATGGGAAAATCCCGATGACGGTCCTGAACCGTCCTCGGTCGGGAAGGGGTTAAGTGGTCTTGCTATGCAAGAACACTTAATAATAATATATATGTGAGATAACATTAAGTGGTCTTGCTATGCAAGAACACTTAATAATATATATGTGAGATAACATTAAGTGGTCTTGCTATGCAAGAACACTTAATAATAATAATAATAATAATATATATGTGAGATAACAATAAGTGTTCTTGCAAGAACACTTAATTATAGAAAATTATAATTGTTTACATAATTTCCCCCACCCCTTGACAGACACCAGCCCACATAGAGCTGGCAGTGCGCATGCGTATTATCAGCGAAGGCTTGTCATGTGACGTCATTACTCTGCGCGTACTCGGTGTGGCGGGAGATTCCAGCCTGCGCAGGCGCAGTAACAGTGCGGCTGACAGCCCCGCCCCCCGCATGCGCAGTGTCAGGCCTGGGGGCCGGCCGGCTCGGTGACGCGCAGTCGCAGTGTTAGTGTGTCCTGCCGCCCCGCCCCCAGCATGCGCACTGTGAGTGTGGAATGGCTTCCTAAACAGGAAGGGACGAGCTGCGGAGTGAGTATCACGGGTTAATATTCACATGTTTCTGCCTGGCTTTATTCTATCCGGCCCGCGGGCCGCCCCCTGTGCGCTGTGTTATGGCGTTATGTGGCTGCTATGAGAGCAGACATGCAGTGCGCGCTCTCTGTGTGTTAGACGGGACCGCTCGCTACATGCCGGTATGTTACATGGACACCGGGCGGGGTGTGCGGGGGGGGTTACCCGGCTGGGCGAGGGCTGCACTGCCTACCGGCTCTGCATAATCTCTGCTGTGCTGTTTTTCTGGCTTTCATGCTGTTTCCCTGAATTGTGTGTGTGTGTGTCTGTGTGTTTGTCTGGGCTGTTGCAGAAAGAGAGTGTCTTGATGCATTGTTAGCCTCAGATTGGTTTAAGTAACTACACCACTTCATTGTCATCGCATGCAGCCCCTCTTTTCTCGGACAATGTAAGTTGTTCCTAAGAAAAGTCAATGTTTACATTCGGAATAGAATGTCTAGTGATGGTCAGTCTGCCACCAGAGTCACTTTATTCCTAAACGCATTCTATCCTTGCTTTCTGACAAATCTAAACAGTCATTTCTGAGAGGCAACACTGTTTACATTTGGAAGAGAACACGCCTCCAGGGGCTGTCAGACACCTTCCACTGCACCACATGGCCACTAAACACTAAGCGGAGATGTTACCTTTGGGGATTTTTTTATTTTATTTTTTGTTTTAAGACCCACAGTGGCTGCTATTTTCATGTAGAATTTTCATTTGAAAATGTTGCAGTAGCCTGGATTATTCTCTCAGCTTTATAAAAGCAAAATAGAGGACTGGGGAAGGAATGTGACATAAAATTCAGTCTACCTCCGCAAATATGTTACTGTGAGGTATTCAATAATGTTTCACTTTTAAACCTTTCCATTATTATATGTTGTAGTAATTATAGTCTAAAAACAATTCTAGTTTAATAACATCCAACAAGTAGTTTTCATGTAAAATAAAACATGAAATTGCTAACCACAATGCCAGATAGCGCTTCGTTTTTATTTGTCTCACTTGTTGTCCATCTGCATAGAAAACATTTGTACAGGTAATGCATTTTGCTCATATAAAATGAATGATAAGCCACCATCTAAATGCTTGGCATATGCTTTAATATAGTGTATAATAAAAACATTGGATTATTAGTGTTTAAAAAAAAAAATACAAGCCATAGTGAACTTTTTAAGTTAGCTTTTGAGTTGTGCAAAATTATGGTAACCTTTTAATTCTTTATATATGCATTTTATAAGTGTTATCTGAATGTTGTTCTTAACACTCTGTTATCTTTATAATCTTCAAAATACCATATTTAAAAAAGCCTTTGTTTCTGTTTTTCAGTGTAGTTGATTCCGGCTTTCACCTCTGCTTAGGAGGGTTTAGTGATCATCATCATCATCATCATGATGCCCGGGGAGACTCATTCCAAGCCAGCTGGCATTGCTTCTGAGGCAACAGGAACCTGTCAGAATTGTACTGCCATGCAACAGGTAGAGCAAACAGAACTTGTTCTATGAGTGGAATCTTACTCCATTCATGGGATACTTGTGTGAACCTATAGTATTTAAGACTTTTAATGATAATTATGGTAAATGAGACTTTTTTTTAGTAGAAATGTGCACTTTCATAAATTAACCATTTTGCACTCCCTTGGTTGTCAATCAGGCAACTGGCCCTGTTCCTTCCTGGTTGTTTAGTTCAGTGGGCCTAAACTTGAGAGGCAGGCAATTGCCCAGAGCACGTGCTTTCCAAAAAATTCTAACCCAGCTGCGTTTGGAAGTTAGGGCTGGGTTAGGAGACAACTTGCAAGGCTGCAAATGAGATCTGCAGCTTTGCAACACTTTTTTATTTTTTTTTATTTTTTTTTATACACACTAATCACAACCTCTTAAGTATTGATTCCCTGACATACAAGCAATGTGAACTAACTACACTTTATCTTATTTAGTCATTTAATTAGTGTAAATGATAAACATTACAAATTCACTTGTGCAAAACTCCTGAGAGGTCTGTTAACATTGCCTCTAAAAAAATAAATTAAAAAGACACCTGTTTCTTATGAGCATCATCAATGCACTTGACTGTCCTTAACCGTCAACCTTTGATGTAATCATTTACTCTACAAAAGTGTATTTTATTTATTTTTACGCTAACCTTGAGATATAAGCTCGGTACTGCAATGTTAACAGTGAGAACAGAGTTTAGGACAATAACATTTTCTGCTTTAGGCAGAAAAGGGGTTAGTGAAATTTGTTTTATCACTTACTATCGTTCGATAAAAGCACTTTTTTTATCAATTGGTTACCAATATGTTTGTTGGTTTTTGCGTTTGGTAATATATTGTATTTTTAAACAAATGAATAATATATGCTCCTCTTTTGAAATTTTCAGAATTTAAATGAATATGTAGCAGCTTTGATTGTTCTCAAGCAAAAGATAATTGATTCAGAGTAAGTTTTTATATAAATTTATAAATGTTTGTTTTAGCATGGTTTACTTTTTTGGATTCCACAACACTTCAATATATCCTTTTTTATTTTTTATGGTAATTTACAAAAGTTGTAGTGTGTGTGTGTGTGCGTATGTGTGTGCGTGTGTGTACATACTTGCATATGCTGCAGTCACTGGCTTTGATTGCAGGTTGCTGTTGTGATCAACAGTTCACTTGTTTTTAAACATTGAGGGTATTTAACAATGCAAAACAGGTGCTATTCTGAGGCAAAATTAGAAGTAAGGACCAACCACCTTGGAAACCAATAGAACCATTCTTAAAATTTCGCATTGTGAGTAAAATAAAGCACATATTTTTCCAAGATAAATCTCACTATTATGGTTTGAATTAATTTTCCAAGTTTGTCTGTACAAAGAATATACAATCACCTCAAAATAAAAGTTTGAGTAGCATGGGGAAAAAGGCTTGCAAAGTAGTTGTTACAAAAAATATCACCAACTCTGTTATTGGCATGAATTTTACTGTTTAGTTTTCAGTTTACCATAATTCACTTAGTGAATAAACCACTAGGTATGTGTTAGGAATCGACCAATATATACTTTTATGTGCCAATACCAATTAGTGGTGGCCATTGATGCGATATCTGGTACTGATATTCTCCCTCACCTCCCACCCTCCCTGCCATTTACCTGTGGCCAGGGAGGTGGACATTACACTCCCTGGTGGTAAGTGGCTTTGTGCCGGCTGCCGGGGGTTTCACATTGTAAAGGAGACGGCTGGATGCAGCAAACAATATCTATTTCCAGCAGGTCTTTCTTCAACTCTTGCGAGCCTGGTATGCCGCCTAGAGCGTTGCTAGTGATTCAACAGAGTTGGAGTGATTAGAGAGAGCTTGTGGTGGGCCTCGCCACCACCTGCATTATCTGCACTATCGGTATTATAGGCTGATCTATATGATAGCACTCCAGGGACATGGTTTTAGGATGCAAATAAAAATGTAAATATAGTTATAAAAAAAAGCTGAGTAAGTGTTTAACAATTACATTTACTAAAGTCGGTTGTGTGTGCCGAAACCAACGTTCGGGCCAGCCTGTAAATAAAGAGGGCCCGCCAAGATGTTATTGTGTAAAGGAAGTGGTGGGTGGGGTGACCAGACGACGACAGCAGAGTATGGAGGTAGGTTTGGGTTTTTATAGGCCGGATTAACCCCCCACAACTCCAAGCTCTGCCTTCCCACTTGTGGTCATGGAAAAGCTGAGTAAGTGTTAACCATTATATTTACTACAGTCGGTTGTGGTGTGCCGAAACTGATGTTCGGTCCGGGTGGTAAATAAAGAGGGCAAGAAGAGATTTAACAATGCAAACTTGAATACGTATGAAATCGTAATAACAATCATGCAGATATGACAGTTTAATTTAACTAGCTAACTCTTAAAAAGCTTGTCTTAGTTATTTTTCCGGTTGTGGTATGTACCGATTGTATGCAGACAATTTCCATCGTCCCAGTCTTTTGATTTGTGTACTGGTACGTTTTGATTTGAGGCAGCGCTGCCCCTATCCAAAATGAATGGCCTGTAAAGTAAATAGAGTTCTAACGTATACCATGAATTTTGATAATGTCAGTGGGTTACCGTGTAAGCTCAGTAGGGGAGCGGTTTTGTCCTTACTAGGGATCGACCGATTATCGGTCTGGCCGATATTTGGTATTTTTGGCAATATCGGTATCGGCCAATTCAGATACCGATATTGCCGATAATATATAACAGGACCGCCGGGCCCATTACAAGCCCGGCGGTCCTGTGGGGGCCAGCAGCAAGCGCTGACTTACCTTGCATGCAGCTCCTACAGCTCCCTGTGTAAATCTCGCGAGACCCGCGGCCGCAGAGCGTTGCCACGGGTTACCATGGCAACGCTCCGCGCGGCACTAAGAGCCGCGAGATTTACACAGGGAGCTGTAGGAGCTGCTTGCAAGGTAAGTCAGCGCTTGCTGCTGCTGCTGAGCCACCACTGTACTTAGCAAGCCACTGGACCACCAGGGAATACTATATCCCCCTCCCTGGTAAGAAGCAGGGAGGGGGGACTAAACAAAACAAAACCCAAACATTTAAATATTAAAAAAAATTACACAAATTACATCACTACACAAAACACACTGCACACATACTGCATTACATACACACTACACAGACACACACACTGCATTACATACACACTACACAGACACACACACTGCATTACACACACACTGCATTACATACACACTACACAGACACACACTGCATTACATACACACTACACAGACACACGCACTGCATTACATACACACTACACAGACACACACTGGGGGGGGACTAAACAAAAAAAACATTTAAATATTAAAAAAAATATTCAAATAAAAAATTACACAAATTACATCACTACACAAACACACACTGCACACATACTGCATTACATACACACATACTGCATTACATACACACTACACATACACACACTACACACATACTGCATTACAGACACACACACTGCATTACATACACACACTACACAAACACACTGCACACACACTGCATTACATACACACTACATTACATACACACTACATTACATACACACTACATTACATACACACACTACACAAACACACTGCACACACACTGCATTACATACACACTGCATTACATACACACTACATTACATACACACTACACAAACACACACTGCATTACATACATACAAACACACACTACACAAACACACATTGCATTACATACACACATATACACACTACACAAACACACACTCTGCATCCACTACACACACACACTACACAAACACACACAGTTCCCCTGTCTAAACACACTTCATCCACTACATGTGGCATATATATTTTGTGCGTTTACCTTTCGAATTAGTTTATTTATTCAAAATAGTAAATGTACAGAATATCGGCAAGATATCGGCTATCGGCCTGAAAGTTCGCAGATTATCGGTATCGGCTCTAAAAAATCAATATCGGTCAATCCCTAGTCCTTACCTATGATGGTCGGATGCAAGTGGTCGAGCAACTGAACTGGGCACCATTTGTTACCTGTGGGGAATAGTTGTCTGTCTACAGGCGGTCCCATATTTTTTTGATTGGTGTATTGTCAACACATAGTGGTCCTCTACTTTGTTCAGGTCTGCTATTTTGAGCATGTTGGTAGTATTGTTTGTATTTTCTACTGTAAATTCATTAGGCTGTAGAAGGCCAATAATTTAGGGGTTTTGATAGTATTGTTTGTTTCGAACGGTTGCGTGTTCAATACATCAGATAATGCTCTAAACTTTTTATCGTCTATTGGTTATCGTTTCATGGGTTTGTGACCTAATTGTAGGTTGTCTTTTAAATTGTTCTTTTTTGGGTTTGATGACATAAAAGTACTGTGACTGGAGTATTTTTTTTTTTTAAGATCTGGTATTGTATGCCTGTTATAGTTTTATCGTATTATGTGCAGTTTTAGATTTAGGTGGCAAAAAGAGGTAAATGCCACCATAGTATCTAATGTCAACGGGTTTTTGATTCGATATTCGGTGATGAATCTGTTGAATATGATGAGCACGGCTGTATGAATGTCTGGTATTAGCTGAAGTGCTGTTTGTGCCAGCATTCTCCAGTGTGCCATTAGTATTGCTAGTCCAGAATGAGTTCCTGGAATAGCAGTGGTCTGTTTGGGATTCTCTTGGCTGTGGGATGTTCTTGGAAGAAAACATGTAGGTTGGAACGAGAGAGGGCATCAGCTGCTGTTGATTACCTGGTGTATGTTCACAGATCAGGAGAAAGTGTTGGGTTGCTGCCAACCACGTGAGTCTCTTGACGAGACTTATGATTGTCAGGGAAGAGTATCTGCCTTTGTTAATTTGCATGCTGCCGTGTTGCCTGTGAAGCATTTTATGGTTGTTCCCTTCCACTGTTAAGTGGATTGTGTTAACACTTACATTATCGGGTAGATTTCGAACAGGGCAGAGGCACTGTTGAATGATGGCAGAGTTGCTGTCTCTATAAATAAATGGTATGTGTTTGTGGGGAAGTTTCAATAACGAACCGTCTAAACTACTCCAAATTGGAACATGGACACAGCGTAAAACTTCAAAGTTAGAAAAAAACTGGCTGCGTCTCAAATGCAATCCCTTCAACATCCACACATACCTGGCAAAGGTACATACGGGGTTATTGCTGTACTCAGCCGACATAGCTGAGCAACATATGAAGTATTATACAGTCATAGCACACATAAGGTTAGCAAAATATATTGCGCAAACTCACTTTGCATGTCAAAAAGGCCGAAAAAACGCTTATTACCACTACACTTAGTACAAGCTAGCGTAAAAATGATCCCACGCTAAGGTTCAAAATATGCCTTTTGAAATACCCTGGGATGTCTTCTTTAAGAAATGGTAGGCCTTTGTGGGGTAGTTTGAATTTAAACCCTGCTAAGATGCTTGGAAATTGCGCATAGGCCCAGCGTCAAAGTTCGGTAAAAACTGATGGCTTGGTCTCCTATATGGCACTGTAGCTTCACGAAATAGTGCCAAAGACATTCATTGGGGGTGTCTTTTTACTCAGAAGACTTAGCCAAGCATAATTTGGGGGGTTTGAACTTAGTGGCACATGTGAAATATACAAAATGCCCAGAAAAAATGCAATCCATGTGTAAAAGATGCACAAAATTATTTTTTATCACATACTTTGGCATATATTGGTGAAAAAATGGGGGCATGTTAAGGCACAATATGCACCTTATGAGATACCCTTGAGTGTCAACTTTTACAAGTAGTAGGCCTTTGAGGGCTTTTTTGAACAGTTACACTGGTATAATCCCCAAATGGAAGCATAGGCTCATTAAATCCATCTCAAAATTCTACTGTGAATATTGAAAAGAACAGGCCTCCTATATGGCACTGTAACTTCACAAAATAGTGCCAAAGACATACAATGGGGGTGTCATTTTACTCAGCAGATGTAACTGAACACAAAATAAAACTTTGTACAGGAATAGCACACACCAACTTTACAAAATACACATGAGCATTTCTTTGTTATAAGTTCGTGTGCCAAAAACCCCACACTTTTACTCCAATATTTAGCAGAGGTTGGCGGTGAAGTGGCTACATAGAAAGTGTCAAAACAACCCTAGGTAAATAGCCTGTGATGTATACTTTATATAAATATAAACTTTTGTGTGGCAATTTTTTCTTTTATGGCTATTAAGCTTACAAGACAAACATACCAAATTCTAAAATTGCTCCACATTAAAGGTTTATTTTACTCCTTGTGCTTTGTGACCTGTAACTACCAAAAAAAACCTTAAAATCTCAGACACATTATATATTCTGTAAATCAGAACTAAATGAATTTATTTTTAATTACTTTCCTTAACCTGCACTAATTATGCACACATTATTGCAAAAACTGTAAAAAAAAAAAAAATGAAAACCCACTAACTTTCATATTTTTTTTGCCTTTTTCTGTATTTTTTTAAGCATGTGTGTGTGTGTGTGTGTGTGTGTGTGTGTGTATATATATATATATATATATATATATATGTATATGTGTGTGTGTGTATATGTATATATATGTGTGTGTGTGACATCAAATTAAAGCCCTTTCTGTCCTTTAAAAAACGATATATAATATGTGTCGGTGCAATAAATTAGTAAAATGCAAATTGCAGTTGAACGCAAACAGGAAAAAAATGCTGTTGTCAGTAAGTGAAAGACAAGCTTCTGAAGCTCTGTCCTTAAGGGGTTAATTCATATGGAAGCAATAACAGTGTACTTTTGTTTTGTTTTTTGGCTTCATTTTTCTTAAATCATCACCGTGTCATGTGTTGTTGTTCATCTGAGGTTGTATTTATTTTAAGACCTGCTAAGAAATAAATGATTATTATTGTTATTCCTGATATGTAAAATAATAGAATTCAGTGTGTGTATCTATATATCATAACTTAAACGTTTTTCTTTCTCTTTTTTTTTTTTTTTTCCCCTTACAGTCACTTGCTGGCAGAATATCAACAGAAGTGTGATGATATCCTTTACAAAATATTTAAAATTCATTTTTAATTTTTACTGTGCACATGGTTGTTAATGGTTCAGACACACTCAAATTAGTGGCAAAAAATATATATTTATTAAAAGATGTGTATCTGTACACCACTCTGAATTATATAGCCTGCATATTTCTTTGTATTGACGAGTGTCATTTTTAAATTCTATGTATGCGTGTTTGTTTTTACAAAAATTCTTTCATGTTACTTTTTTCCTTTACTAAAAAAATACAGCTTCAGTTTACAGAAAGGTTAGTCTTTATTTCCTTTGTTTGGTGGGGATGGAGTTTGGATGTGATTTTGTTTTAATAAAAAAAAAAAAAAGTTTTTTACATTTTAGTTCTTGTATGTCTGGGTTCTAATCTTTGAATATTTCACTATAGTATGAATATTTTAACCCATTTCATCCTGTCATGTAATTTCCTATATATTTTAAGAAGATCTTTATATCTGAATTGAAAATTTAGTTAATAAAGAAAGCTCTTGTTTTGTTTATTCTGTTAGTTTATATTTCATGATTTGGATAATAAAAACAATGTTCTTTTAGAGAGAATGACACCCTAAGATGTCAACTGGAACAAATGTTGCAAAAAATTACACCTCAAGAAAAAAACCTGGAAGAGTTGAAATACCTAAAAGCAGAGTTAGAAGAGAAGACGGTAATTTTGTAAAAATGTTTTTGGTTTTTTTAATAGATGATACGGTGGTTTGGTTTCAGTATGCCAATGATGAAAAAACAAAGACAATGTTGTGTTTTTACACATACAAAAAAGTAAACATTTTAAAGGTGCTCCAGAACCAGTACCGCTTATTATACAGTTTTTAGTGCAGAGAGTCTGTGGATTCACCCTGTTTTGTTTCAAACCATTTTTGCACAGATTGAGATAAAGCTCTCCTAGCAACTAAAGCACAGTAATGCTCCATGGCTAATGTGAGTGTTAACTACCATATTGGCTGTCTCACTGCCGTCCAAAGCTTGACAGAGGGCTGGGGTAGGGAACTTCTAGAACTCTTAGCTTATCACTGCTAGTAACTCCCACAAGACATGGGCTGAGTAATTCTGTATGTTGGCATCATGGGGGTTGTATGTTGTATCAAGGCAATTGTTTAATTTACAATCGGGCCTGGTCACATGGGATATAATGGATGCAGGGTATTCTAAATGCCCATGGACACAACTTTATAGTGGCTCATGCATTGTGGGACGTGTGGGAAGGCGGTGAGTAATGCCTTAATATATCGTAAAGTATTAATTTTGATATATTCTTTGACTAGATGTTATTAGTTATAGTGAACACCTCAAAACAAACTTCTTTTCTGCACTGTGATATGGAAATATTATGGTTTTGAGAAGAAAACAAGAAAACGCTCTTTTGATCTTCTCATTAATCATAGTGGGTTGGCCACTAAGCAAATTTATGCAACTCACAGCTAACTTTCACATTATAATGCATTTTATTATTGTAATCGCATTTTCTTGGTCGGAATGTTTGATTTTAATGTTTGTTTTTTGGTTTGTTTTATTTGTCAGTCTTCTCTCAAGATTTACCAGCAAACACAACTGGAATATAACCGCATCAAAGAAGAATGTGTGAAAAATGACGTAGCGTAAGTGACAGTTTGAGTGAAAATGATTACAACTTGACATTGTTATTGTAGCCCCTTAAAGGACCACTCTAGGCACCCAGACCACTTCAGCTTAATGAAGTGGTCTGGGTGCCAGGTCATTCTAGGGTTTTTTTTTTTTATAAACCTAGCTCTTTCAGAGAAACTGCTATGTTTAGAATAGGGTTAATCCAGCCTATAAAGCCTCTAGTGGCTGTCTCATTGACAGCCGCTAGAGGCGTTTGCGTGCTTCTCACTGTGAAAATCACAGTGAGAAGACTCAAGCGTCCATAGGAAAGCATTATGAATGCTTTCCTATGAGACAGGTTGCATGCGCATTCAGCCAAAGAGGAGGAGAGCTCCCCGCCCGGCGCTGGAAAAAAGGTAAGATTTAACCCTTTACTCGACATCCAGCCTGGCGAGAGTGGGACCCTGAGGGTGGGGGCACCCTTAGGGCACTATAGTGCCAGGAAAACGAGTGTGTTTTCCTGGCACTATAGTGGTCCTTTAAAGGTGTCCTGTTAAATACCCTTGGTTTTTACAAATACAATTAAATCTTTAAAATTGTGAAGAAATATATATTGTGTAAGTTGAAACAATGGCAACAAATTCACCTATGGAAAAATCACACTATTTCCCCCCCTCCCTCCCCCTCACATTTCCTTGAGCCTATATGAACTGGCTCAAATTAAAACCGCTTTTGTCTGAGGATCCACCAGTGCTCTGGAAACAATGCTTCACCGGTCCTCCAAAGAAAGTAGAAATGCACAAAAATTATACAATGATATTTTTTTTGTTTTTCAAATACAATTTAATCAAATCTTGCATATAAGTAAGAAGACCTATTTTCCAAATAGCAAGCAGCATTGGTAAAAACTGCAATGGCACAATGCGTTTTTGACATTTTTTTCCTCAGGTCATTCTTCATGAACGCTGTCCCTTGTTCTATCTATCTATTTAGCAATATATCTATATCCCGGTCTGTCAGCCGAGTTTAGCGTAACTGTATACATCCCATTCTAAAGCATTTAAATTCATATCGGACCACAAAGAACCGTCATATTTCTGTAGTTTTTCTTATGTTCAAATTCCATCTCATTATATAAAAACCGTATTTAATATAATTGTTTGGATATACACATAACATAAGGCAGTGAAAAATCTATAAATCAGAAAAATTAATTCTCCATGATTAACCATATATAATCAAAAATTGCTAAAACATTATTCAATGTTCCGTTTAAACCAAGGACTATTGACAAAAAGTTTCATTGAAAAAAAATATATATATTAAAATTGCCTTTAATTATTTTTTAATGTAAATAAGGGCTTTTACAATTGTGGTTATTGGTTTGCCTGTAAATAATCAAAGCTAACTAAAATATAGTAATTTAAATCCACAGTAACAAACTTTTTTGGGAATCCTGAATAATGGGCAATAGCGATAATGTAATTTACCTTCTCACTTGCCCATGTAAGATGCAATATATAGGTAGGACTTCCAAAATTAGGATAAATGAACATACTAGAAATATGTTTAGAGTACAAAGAGTATTTTTAATTTCATTCTCAGCGATTGGTTAAGTTGGCATTTTCCTCTCTTCAGGTGTAGGTTTTGGGATATTGACTTAGTGTTGAGCGGTTTGTATTCTGGTCCATTTTGTCAAATGTTCTGTGATCATTTTTCAATTCCTCAGCCAACCATAATGGTCATATTTGTCCTCTCTGTCAGGAATCAAAACATTTTTCAAAGCAAGTTTACTCCGCTTAGGTGTACTATTGGGTATATTTGTCTTTCTGTGAAACTTGCAGGTAGTCTGGATACATCAGAGGGGAAAAAAAATCTTCGAGAAAGTTCTATATTTTGCATCAACTGAGATGAGTAATTTGGAATCTGGTGATTCAAGGAAAAAAATCATTGTGAGGGAGCTAACACTTTGGTTTTATCTGTGACTTTCGGAAAGCAAAATTTCACTACCTTGAGATATATTGAAGGGCACTGTAACTCCAGAAAAATTCTGTGCACTCTTTCTATTTAGAGTGAAAGTTTTTTTTTTTTCTGGTAGTCTGTTTGTGGCAACCATTTCTTCTTTCTGTTTATTACTGTAGTTAAGCAAGCAGTTTGTAGTAACACTGACACTAGAGACTGCGGAATATTTGAAAGTTGAACATCCAGTTAAGCCTATTTTCATCACTTACCTTGAGTACACATACACAATATTCCACCTTTTGGCAGATCAATCATTGCTGGCATCAAGTCCCACAATGAACATTTCTCCAGACTCTTGTCTTGTGGCTCCACTCTTATAATTTCAACACTAAGCATGTCTTTGCAGTAAAATGGTTGTATACTATGGGCATGGTGCACCTTTATCCATTTGTCATGTCCATTAAAAGATTTCAAGCTATAAGCTATTCCTTTTTTCAAACACTTTTTACTGTCAGATGGTAATATTTCTTATAAAATTGTGGATTTTTTTTTATAGTGAAATAGTGCGTCGAACAATTAGCACATACTTGGGTTTGCACTGTAGCTAGAAAGTCTTCTAATTTGGCTAGTATTCTGTCACCTAGTTACATTTCTGTGTCCTCTAATATTAGTCCCACTTGAAAAAGCTATACTGGCACTTATAAATGTGGCAGTACACAATGTAGAACTTGTGATGTTATTGTTTCTGAGAATTATGTCTTCACAACCAACAGTTTGCAAAGAAACATTCAGAGTATTGGGTGTCTTGGGAAATATCTTTCATGTTAGTATGACAATATAGCACATTGTTTAACGGAAGCCAAATGTTTGTTTGGACAGACACTTTTAAAAAATAATTTACCAAATAATTAAGTTAAAGACAAGGAAACAATGTTGTAAATAAAAATATACATATTGTCACATTGCCAAGAAGTTACCCACACCATATCACACGCATTCCAGTCATGTTACTTCATTAGACACACACAAACACACATGCATACTCCACACACCTAAAACACTCACTTGCTGAAGAGCTTCATGTGTGAAAAGTGTCCCTTTTAGATTGCATCACACATACATTCAGTTAGTCAAGTATGTTATTCAACTGGTACTGTATTGGGAATTCACCATGATTCCAAAGGGATAAATTCAAATTAAAGCATGTGCTAATTCTGTATTTACATGTCTTAATTGCTAAGAATTGGCAACACTGCACCTCCTGATACATATACACCTGACAAAGAAGGCTTGGGTTTACATTTTCTAAGCTTTAAATTCTCTGAAGTTAATGTTTATGTATGTTTTTATTACTTTTTAGAAAAAAGAAACTGGAAGCAAAGTTAAAGAAAGTGGAAGGTAATTGGGAATTATCACTTTATTTTAAATTGTTTTTTTTTTTTTTTTTTGTGTGAATATAATATCTTTATGGTGAGCACGTCCTTGCATAATCAGTGGTATTATCAAAGCCTCCCAGAGCCAAATCTGTTGCGATAGGTATGATTGGACTTGCAGGTCCAGCAATTGCTAGAGAGATATTGCTGGACCGAGCATTAAAGGAACTCTATAGTCACCAAAACACATTAAGCTTTATGACTTAGTTTAAATGTATAAATCATGCCTTTGAAATCCCACTGCTCAATTCTTTGCCATTTAGCATTATTAAATCACTTTTGTTTCTGCCTATGCAGCCCTAGCCACACTTCCAGGCATGTGACTGACAGCCTGCATGAAAATGGTTTCACTTCCAATCAGTTCTTTTTATCTCTTGCTCTGTAAATTGAACATGAATCACACACAGGAAGCTCCTGCAGGGTCCAGCAAGGTATTAACAGAGTGGGAGGTTAGAATTTCTAAATTAAATAGAATTTGCAATAAAGGAAATGTAAACATTAGATGACTCTTTATAGGAAGTGTTTAGGAAGGCACGTGCCGGGAGTTGTGCCTGAGGTTGCATAAGCAAAGAGATTTAAATTCTAAGTGGCCGAGTACTGAGCAGTAAGACGGCATGATCTGTACACCAAAACTATTTTATTAAGCTAAAGTTGTTTATGGTGACTATAGTGTCCATTTAATACATGGTCAATTAACCCCTTAAGGACACATGACATGTCATGATTCCCTTTTATTCCAGAAGTTTGGTCCTTAAGGGGTTAAAGGGACACTACACTGCCCAAATAAAAACATTGTTTAGTAAATATACCCCAAATAAAAACTTGCATGCATTTAATTATGTATTTTTTTCATTGGGGATATATCTAAAAATCTAAGAAAGTTACCTGCGCTCTTTCCCAAATCACTATGTATATTTAAACAAATGGAGGTTTTTAATTACCACCAATGGCAATGAGAGGGTATGCCCACCTGCTACGTCAAGGCAGTCCTCTTAAGTGGGTCCTAACTCTAACCATTCACCTTGCTTCCTTAAGCTTCTGGCAAAGATGTCTCTGAGACAGAAAGAGGGGTGTGTGTGTGTGTGTGTGTGTGTGTGTATATATATGTATATATATATATATATATATATATATATATATATATATATATATATATATATATATATATATATATATATATATATATATATATATAATCTCTCTATCTATCTCTATCTCTCTATCTCTCTCTATCTCTTCCCCTCTCCCCCTCCCTTATTAACCCTTATTAGGAAACACATGGGATGGGCAGCAGCATTGTAACATAGCTGTGTGATACAAAAGTGAATACAAAAAACAAGTCATAAACTGCAATATTTACCTTGAAGGGTTAAGTCCTCATCTAGTGGCTGTCTACTAGACAGGCACTAGAGGACACTATCGTGTTCATAGAACACGAAAAGTGTTATAACGTTGCTGGACTTCCTCACGCTATGTCGCTGAAATCCCCATTTGAAAGCATTAATCAATGCTTTCCTATGGGGAGGTCTAATGCGCGTGCCCGGCATTGCCGCGCATGCTCAACAGGTCTCCCCTGCCACCGTCCGCGAATGCTGAATAGGTCTCCCCCGGCACCGGCCGCGCATGCTCAATAGGTCACCCCCGCCGGCCGACGTCATCCGGCGGGGGAGACCTATTGAGCATGCGCGCCCGGTGGGATGTGGGGTGGGAGGGAGAGGGGACCTGCAGTGCCAGGAAAACGGTTTGTTTTTCTGGCACTGGAGAGTCCCTTTAATAAGGAACACATGGGATGGGCTGATCTAAAATCAGCTTGCAAAACCTGCAGTTCTTTTGTCTGCTGCCTTTGCAAGTTCTCCTACTCTAACCATGCCCAGACTTTCTGTGGCTGTCAGACTTCCCAATGCAGCTGAATTGCTCTGAGTAATTGCTACCTCTTGCCAAAACTTGCAAGTAACATTACTTTTCTGCTTGAAAGTCAAGGGTGTGTAACCAGGTTAATTTATAAAAGTGTCAATTTCTATTGAAATCTGCCCTTTTGCAAAATGAAAATGAAGAGGACACACTCTTTACACATAAAGCTTTTCAGCAAGCTAAAATTGTTTATGGGTCTGGAGTGACCCTTTAATATTGCAGTTTGACATTCACAGGTCTCATGTGACATAAGTAAACTTATAAAAGGAAAAATAACATTTACCCCCTTAAGCTGAAGTTTTAATATATGTGTGTGTGTGTGTGTATACATATATATATATATATATATATATGTGTGTGTGTGTGTGTGTGTGTGTGTGTGTGTGTGTATATATATATATATATATATATATATATATATATTCTCTTTCCAAACATCATAACTGAAGCCCAATGTAGTGGCCATTTGCCCATGTAACTTCCTTAGAGTAAGAAGTCAGATCATTTGATAACTGTTTGGCAACTTATCTGGGGTCAGCTAAGTGCTGGTCACCTCCTCCATCGATTGCTGGAATAGCTCATTGATTGAGAGGGATCAGCCAACGAGCGGGCCCTACACCTCAGGAAGCTACAAAAGCACTGTAAGCAAACGTTTTGACTACTTACATTTGGGGGGACTCCAGGCACAATAACCCATATAGCATACTGTAGTTGTTATGGTGTTTGGCATGTTCCTTGTTCAGGTCTGTATTATACCCATATGTTAACTTTTTGATGTAAATTCAGTTGTAGTTTAATTTGTAATTGTTGCATACACATTTACGTCATACTGTATCCTTCATACCAGATTCTGCTGTAAATCAAATGAAGGAATTCAAACAGCTAAAGTTGGAAAAGAAGAGACTTGAGAAACAATTGCATAAAATGCAGGTATGATTCTTTAACTGAGTATTTAGTGCATGCATTCCAAGCATTCAAATGTGAAAATGCACAATATCTGAGTTAATACTGATCTGTCTTTCTCTAAATATAGACATTTATATATTTGTGTGTGTGTATATATATATATATAGATATGTTTAATTTTTTTTAAATTTTTATTTCTTATAGAAAAAGATCAGCGTTTTTCAGAAAGGAAAGAGCAAAAAAGGTAGGGTTTTTTTTTTTTTTAAACTGCATTTCTGTGTGTGTCTTGCTTTCTGTTTCCATATGATTTGTTGAATGTGTTTAAAAAAAACAAAATCCTATGTAATACGTTTTAGAAATGAAAAATGCACAAACCCAGATTGGAAGTGAAAACCCTGTTGTAAAGCTGGACACACGTAAGTCTGTACATTTAATCACGTTAAAAAAACAAGTTGGATTTGCAAAATAACGGTTACATAAGTGCTGTGATTGAACATGAGTAAGTCTGGATTTCATCAAGGCACTTTTTGAAATTATGGGTAATTAGACGCATGTAGACATGGGATTTGATATATTCTACTGATAGTTATCTGTATATAGATATGTATAGATAACCATCAGTAGAATTATATAAAATCCTAACTATAGGTGCCTGTCTGTTTTTAATTTTAAACTAAATAGATGCTCTGCACTACAATGTTTTCATTTGTGTTAAAGGTGCAGTTCAAGAACATTCAAGGCAATTGCAATCAATAAGTATTTACATTTTTTTTTAATTTTTTTTGGCATACTAGCTTTTGAGTTTATTCAAAAGCTGGTGTGCAAACAAAAAATGGAAAAAAAAAAAAAACCTTCAAAATACTTATTGGTTGCAAGTGCCTTGAATGTTCTTGCACTGCACCTTTATCACAAATGAAAACATTGTAATGCAGAGCATCTATTTAGTTTAAAATTAAAAACAGACAGGCACTTAGTGTTAATCTCACTGCATCCGAGTGACCGGAATGCCAGTCTCATTTTAAAAGTAAAAAAACAAACAAGCAATAAAGGCGCTGAAAGTGCTAATATAAAATATGAAGATAATAAAAGTGTAGCAGCACCTAAAAGTGTACAAGCTCATAAAACACCATACATAAAATCCAAAAAATAAAAATAGGTGCGCTGTATCTTTAAATGTTAAAAAGTGCAAATAGTGCAATAATATGTGCAAATATTTTGTGCAAAAACAGAGTGTGTATACAATCACATTCAATGTGCAAAATGCAAATGTGATAGTGTAAAAATTCAATATCCAAGACAAATAACTTAAGAGGGAAATATGTCTCAAATTCTCCAAATCACATAAGAACATATGTAAAGAGATAAAAAATGGAGAAACATAGTATAATATTGTTTTACATAAATATAAAGACCAGCAAATAGAATTAGGAATATCACTCACAAATGAAGAGCAGTAAAAGCCTGCTCAAACTGATCCAGCTTTGAATCCAAAAACCAGGACTTCAATGTTGGTGTAAATAGGCAGGACACCAGCTTCCAAAATTAAAAACAGCTTTATTGAAAATAAGTAGAATCCACACTCTCCGTTTCCATATAGCAGCCAAATAACCTTTTGCCAGTACTGTATAGTGTATATCTACCAGTCCCTGGTGACTTTCGGTATTACAGGCTTCACTTCCTGGAACTCGGAGTTTCGTCCGGTCACGTGATGGCGTGATGACGTGATGACGCGTTTCGCCCAATCGGCTTCCTCAGATCACATCCTGATGTAGCTAGTCCTGCCTTTTAAAGCCCATACATGGGCGTGGTTTGTGTCAATCATTATAGAAACTCCCCATAAACTAATTAGGGGTAGATCTTGTAAATGTCTATATTTAGAAAGTCCATGACATATGAAACAACAAGAAAAACAAGTATAGCATAAAGCTAATCTTCTAATTAAAAGATAACTCATCCAAATGACTCATAGAACAGCAGTAGATAATAGTAATAATAATAGCACATAGATACTTCTAGTTAGCGTCTTAATATAATTCCACAAGAGGAAGAATATGTATATACATATATATACACACACACAAAGGGTCATATATATATATATATATATATATATATATATATATATATATATATATATATATATATATATATATATATATATATATATATATATATATATGTGAAAAAAAAGTGTTTGGATCTAATTGACTATATAGGACTGGAAATACAGACCGTTCTCTTATTGGGATAGATGGGTATATATTAGGGCCAATAACAAGGTATTAAAAACAAAAGAAATATAGCCTAATAGTGACAGGGAGTTATGGGAAATTGGGGAATTTACTGTTAGTGCTGCTTACTGTTAGGGGTTAACGGTAAAGTTTATAAAAATGTTAAATGTGAAAAAATAAGTTTTAAGAAGAAAGTTTAAAAAAATGTAAAAAGCAAAAAAAATTTAAAAACGGATTTTAAAAGTAAAAAAAATACTTTTTAAAATGCTCATTATCACTACACCTGGAACAAACTAGAGAAAAAATGATCCCACGCTAAGGTTCAAAATATGCCTTTTGAATTACCCCAGGGTGTATTCTTTAATAAATAGTATGTGTTTGTGGGGAAGTTTGAATAACCAACCAGCTAAACTACTTCGAAATGAAACATGGACACAGCGTAAAACTGCAAAGTTAGAGAAAAAAACTGGCTGCGTCTCAAATGTGCCCCTTCAACCTTCATATATACCTGGCAAAGGTACATACAGGGGTATTTCTGTACTCAGACGACATAGCTGAGCAACATATGTAGTATTATACAGTAGTAGCACACATAAGGTTTGCAAAATATGCTGCAAACTTTGTGTCAAAAAGGCAGAAAAATGCTTATTGCCACTGCACTTGGTACAAGCTAGTGGCAAAATGATCACACGCCATGGTTCAAAATATGCATTTTGAAATACCCTGGGATGTCTTCTTTAAGAAATGGTATGCCTTTATGGTGTAGCTGGAATATGTAACCTGCTCAAGTGCTTCAAAGTGGGACACTAACACATCAAAACCCTTCATGAAAATTCACTTTTGAGACACTTGTGAGACAAGCACTAGAGGCTGGATTAGCCCATAGGTAAACATAGCAGTTTCTCTGAAACTGTTTACAGCTGCAGGATTAACACTAGATGGACCTAGCACCCAGACCACTTCATTGAGCTAAAGTGGTCTGGGTGCCTATAGTGGTCCTTTAAACTCCATAAAACACACATGTATGAATTTTACTCCCTTGGACTACAAATATATATTTTTTTTTTTAAACATTTTCTTTCCTCCCCAGAAAAAATTAAGCTGCTTCTTGAACAACTATGGGATTGTATTGATTCTTCAACAGAAAAAAGCCATATTGAGCTACAGACTTTAGGTGAGAAACATTTACTTACAAAAATAAGTTCTTCTATTTTCTTTTGCAGGATATTAAACCAAATAATAATAATTTGATCCTAGCCCTTTAATTTCAAATGTAAACCTTTTGAAGTCTAAAACAAAGGATTTTGCACAAGTGTATTTTATTCCTATTGCTCACTGTATACAATAAGCTGGTCAATGTAATATGAAATATTACAACATTTATGGTAGAAAGGTATTATGTTTTTGGTTTTTTTCACCTTTTAAATTTATTACTTTTATTACAAACATCACAATCCAGTTCAGTCCCTTTACTGCGAGGACATGCATTGCAAATAAGGAGTTGAAATATAAATTCTGATTCATTTCTTCTGTTCTCTGTGTGCTTTCTTTGTGCTGATTGCCAGATCCAAAGAACACATCATAACAATAATTGACCGGGAAGATAGATGTGCCCAATTTTAGAATACAGGGATGTACATTTCTTCCTTAAATTTTAGTTTTCACACTACACAAATACTTATTAAAATAAGAGTATAAGTAAACTTAATTTTAAAAATCCTGGGAAGTGACAGTCCTATAAAATTAACATTTTTTTAAATTTTATAAAACCTCTAGAGCTGAACAAAAATGTTACAACAAACCCATAACTTGTATTCCACAGGGTTTGCACTTGCAAACAAGAGAAAATATATTCTGCACCACAAAGTTTTGCAGCAATCCATTATCAGCCTTTTGAGGTCAGTTTGATAAGTGTCTTATTGATTCATCTATTGATTTTATATGTGGCCCCAGGTTTTTTTTTTTTTTTTTCGTTTTGGAATAGCATAGTGACACATTTGTGTGTGTTTTTTTTTGTATAGCATTCACTGGGTTTTTATTTATCTTTGTCAGGAGGAAGTTATCGCTGACCTTGAAATGTTGATAATTACTCTTAAGGGCAGTAGTGACATGGTTGTTTTTTGTTTTTGTCTGTATTTAAAGGACTTGGTGGCACCTGATTATCACTTAGATAAGAAGATTCTAACCTATATTGATTAGTTTACACGTACAGCAAAACTTCATAGCCTCAACCATAATTCCATACTCTTCTTTTGTGGTATCCCTCTGCACAATCGGTGCTTTTCCTATATAATTGAAGAAATCGATTGTGGCTGTACTGTGCATTCATTTTTATAGGGAAACACATGACAGATAACAAGCAATACATTTATGTTGGCCTTTAAGACAAAATTAGAAGTAATGTCTGAGTGTAGTGGAGTAATCTATATTTACAGATTTGAAAACCTAAAAAGGTGTTTATGGTTTTAATGTTTGCATATTGCATGTAAACAAAAAGTATATAACATTAAACGTTAAAGGGAAACGGTCACTTCGCATTACACCATTGAATAAAACATTGTAAAGCACACATTTGTTTTACCATTATGGTTTTTCTTGAATAATTGATACATTTTGTGTTAACATATTACTGATAACTAGCATATTACTGATAACTAGCATATTACCAGTGACTGCAAATTATTACTATTAGATGATTTTTTTTTTTTCACATAGCAAGAGGATACAATGCTCAGCATTTAGAACGCTTTACAACCCATGTAGTTAATTTGAATGTTACCTTTGAAGCTACTAATTACTTGACAATTAGAACATTTGCAGTCATTCATTTTGTACACATGATCGCATGTATTCAGTGTTAAAATAATGATCTGTTTAGAATTTGTCATGCAGGGATCCCATGCATGCTTTATAATCTCTGGTTGCTAATCTACCCTTTGTTTGCTCTAAATTTGTGTTTAGATGCCCGTCAACACAGAGTCAGAGAGAGTAAGTATCCAAATATAAGAAATGCAAAACGAGAAGTATGTTACTATGCATTACATTATATTGAATTGTCAAAGTGTTGATTAAAACGTCTAGCAAGTTCTAGTACAGTAATTCATTTTTGTGTTTATTTGCTACTGGGTTGGGGTTATGGTTCTTACAGCACACTTTGGGGTCATCAATCCATTCACTACGATTCCTTCAATCTTAGAGCTGTGTTATTATTAAAGGGAGTGATTTTTGCATATGCCAGAAACTACTGGTAGGAGCTTACATTAGCTCTACTGAGGGGATCTTTCTTATTAACTACACTTGAAGTTAGGACCGCAAACATTTATGTTGAAGTTGGTAAGGGTGTGCAGCCTGCAACCAACCTCAGAGGAATACAACTGTATTCAGCATGATGTGCACTGTTTTTTTTGTGTTTTTTTGGAAGGTGTGATCTACAGTTAATTTTTTTTTTTTTCGTCAAGTTTCGAAAAAAAGTTTTTGCCATTGTCTGTTTATCTGGAGCCAATCCGTTCTAAACAAATGTAGTAATTTTTGTCAGGAAGCATGAAAAAGGGGAGGAGGGTCAGGTTGAGACCAGAACTGCAATGTGGTCTTGAGGTCCAGTGCCGCCTCTGTTGTACTAAATCTTTTTATTGGGGTAGTGGTGGTCGTGGACAGGAACCAGTATTATGAATTACGGTCTGAGGGGAGAGACTGCAGTGTGTGTGTGTGTGTTCAAATAGCGTTGGATTTCCAAATAAATCATACTGTATGAGAGTAGTGTGTGAATGTGCTATAGGTTAACGTGGCACGGTAGTGAGGATGTGATCAAGGAAGCTGTAACAATCAGTGTCGGATAGATCCTCAGAATTTGGAAGATGTAAAAGCAGAGTTGTAGATACGTGCCAGGGAAGTGGAAGGCTAAAAGGCAATCTCTCCGCTCTGAGTATATCAACCTAGTTGACTTATTTATGAATTTGGTGTAATGTGTTATATCTGTTAATCTCCCTTTGTGAAAAGGGTTGGTCAGCCAAACCCCCCGCCTCCGGTACATTAAACTTTTAATGAAGGGAAGATGCAGTGATTTGGATGTTGATGTTCACCTAGTTTCAGCCTTGCCAGCTTCCATGCTTTTATTGTGGTTATGTGTTGGGGGCAGTTTAGTTAAGCCAGTAATTCTATGGGTTCAGTCAGTGCTGCCTGCAGTTCAGTTGTAGTGAATTGTGAGCAGTTTACTTTCCAATTCAGGACGTATTTTGCTTGTGCAGTGCTTTAGGTAGGTTCAAACCTCCTGAGTATTTGGTGTAATTTAGTTAGACTAATTATAGCTGGATGGTTAAAAATAAATTAGATACAGGCACTCAGGATTGCTGCAGGAAGGCAGGTTTATTGGAACAAAAAGTACAACGTTTCTGTCTACACAGAGGCCTTTATCAAGCGACACTTATGGGGCTGGAATGACATCATATTCCAGCTCCTGGCCTCTCTACAGCTTGAGGGAATAGAGGGGAGCTGCAAGAAGATTACCGCAGCCTCGCACATTGCACCCATGCAGCCCAAGTCGGCCGGCCCCCATGCAGGCCAGGGCAACCAGTCGGCTCCATTGTTTCCCCAGCTGTGCTCCATGGCGTCTTGGTGCCTCCCTTTCTAGATTTAGGAGATACAAATATTACTGGAAAAGCTTGTCCCAAAGGCTTCACGGTGAACATTTTTAAAATCCTGAGGCCCCATCTTGGCACTGTTCTAACACACCACTATTCAATCAAATTTATCTAGATGGCCTATCAGTTGACTCCCTTAACCACGCTCGGACCATTCATACACCCAAACCGGAAAGGAATTTATATTAGCGGTCTTTACTTTTGACGATGACTTACTGATATTTTCAGCTAACCTGAATTACCATTTTTCCTTCTTTACTCAGCTTAACCTAAAACAGTCAGTGTCTGTGTGTCATTGTGTTTACCTGCCCACCTCTGATCACATGAGGTGTTTTTACTCCACTTTTTTCCCACGCCGACTGGTTTCGCCACGGCTTTTCCTGCCTTCATGGCTGAGATCATCAATCTTTATAAACTCTCAGCTAAATAATTATTTTCCTTAGGAGGATAGTGCGCATGTTCTTTGAGTAACATTCAGCACCTCCATGCAAAACTTGGAGATGCTTAACAAACGATACTGCACACCTTTAATCTGGGACGTGGTTAACTACCCCCTTTCTTCCATCTTCCAATTAATTCACATGGCTCGCAAACACATTAAAATACATAGGAGTTAATATCCCTAGAAATTAATTAACATTATATTAAACATATCAGTTTTAATGCAATTTATAAATCCAGAGTTGAGTAGATGGCAGTCCCTTCCCCTTTCCATCATGGGTAGAATACACAAACTATACTTTTTCCAAGTTTTCTCACTCTTACTATTTTAAGACAGACGAGAATGCCTTGAACAAACAAGTATGCCTATTCATATGGAACACCCATCCAGCTATAATCAGTCTAACTAAATTACTCTCTAGTGGCTGAGTGACTGTCACTTGATGTGTTAATAGGCAGCAATGTAAACAATGCCTTTTCTGCAGCGTTTACATTGAAAAGGCTACAGGGATAGGCTATAGGCACCAGAACAACTACATTAAGCTGTAGTGGTTCTGGTAACTGTAGTGTGCCTTTAAGAACTGTAGATTTCTCTTAAATAGACAAACGTAAACAAATAAAACTGGCTCTCAACTTTTTTTAGCTGGTTTCTAGATTCCAAACAAATTGGGCAAACCCTGGATTTTTCAAGAGTGAACAGAATTCCTTGTCTATGTGGGGTTGCAGCTTTATAGGAAGGCTAGAACTCTCGGATAGTCATCTGGTGTTGAGTTGCATAGGTCTTTGAAGTTGGTGTAAAACAGGCTATTAATCTTAGTATGATACTTTATTTTGATTCTTTATGGTGATACAGTTACAATAGGTTTAAATCTAGATGCTGGATTAACTATACTGGCCAAAAGCCTTCTGGACCTTCCACCCCAACTAAAGAAATGCTGCCTTTGGTGACCTTGTCTGCGCTTTAACCCCTTCCCGACTTCGAATGTACCAGGTACGTCCGATAGAAAATCCCCACTTACCTGAAAGCTTGCGATTCCCCACCAGCGTTCGCGATTCTGAGGTCTGCCTGGGAGCTGAGGCAGGGGGCTTGTCCGAGCTCTCAGGCAGTTCCCCCTAATGCCTGCAAAAAACTTTTAAAATTATTAAGTTTTAAAAAGTAAATAAAAGTACACACATTGTACTTTAGGCATGAATTAACAGATCCTGTTGTGTCACTGCCAAACAATGTGTTCAGCAAGATCTCCTGAGTACAGTAATACCACCCATGCATAGGCCTGGGTGGTATTACTAAAAGGCCACATTTGGCAGGTGCGCTTATCCGTTTCCCAACTTGGAATTTTGACATTTAATCAACCTGCGCCCATGTCCCATTTGAGCCAATGTATTTTACCCCCATCAAAACATATTTTTGAAAAGTAGACAACCCAGGGAATTTTAACACTTTTCATGCACTGAATTCTACCACCAGCCTTTGTCAAACTTTTGGGTAGTAATCTTTTTTTGTTTCTTTGTCACACACATTGTACTTTAGGCATGAATTAACAGATCCTGTTGTCACTGCCAAACACCCCAATATGTTCAGCAACATCTCCTGAGTACAGAGATACCCCCCATGTATAGGGTTGCTGGGTTGTTTGGGGGCCAAAAGGCAACAATCAGAACTTGTACATGTCAGTTTTTCAACTTGATATATAGGTATGCTTGGTCTAACTTCAGTTTGACATATTTTTGCACCCCCAGCTAATGTTACCATCATGACAGTTTAGTATATATTTTTATAAAGTAGACATTAAAGGTTATAGAAGATGGGGTGTTTTGACTTCTTTCCCCCAACCATTTTGCCCCCCCAAAGAACGTGTAGTGGTAATTTTTAAATTCTGGTTTTTATGCACACGTCATCTGGTTTTGGCCAGCTGGTTATGTGTTACTGCCTGAAAACTTGTTAGACCAAATGTGCAGGTAGCAAATGTACATTTAGCAGCAATCTTTAAACTGACTCCTGCAAATAGAATCTAACTGGAGATTAGGGGGAAGGAAACTGACTAACAAAAAATGGCTGCTTTCCAAAGAAACAAAAAATAAAATAAAAATTCAGTAACACTTCTTACAACTGTTCTGTGTGGTACAGCTTGAAACATGTTCCTACACACAGTCCTGGTTTCAAAGGGCAATTTTTTTTTTAATTTTTTTTTTAGCAGTTGGCGGTAACTTAAAAGTAAAATACCTGGACTCGGCTTGCACCGTTGTTGGAACTTGTCCATCTCCATAAATTGTTAAATAAATTATTTTCAACTGAAATTGCAGAAAGGTGGTTTTCCCTGGATTATTTTTTTTAAAAAGAAAAAACGAGATGTGGGTTGCTATTTGCATCAGATAGCCACCTTTTTATATCATGCTTTGGTTTTTCGTAAAATAAGATATGGCTGCATCAGCTAAACAGCCAAATCAACACCCTCCATGTACTTATTATATGCCCTGATGCAAACCGGTTTGGACTCTACTCTGCCCCGGACAGAGACGTCTGACATGCGTTCGTCATGGATGGTGGTTAGCATGTTGACATCCTTCCTGTCCCTAAATTTTTGAAGAAAAATAACACATTTGATAACTTTGCAATGCTGGCTGCAATTGTTTCTTAAGGGGCAAAAACAAACAAACAAAATTTACTTTGTACATAATATGTATAAAGTAATAATTGACTCCCGTTATCAATTATTAATTTATACATATAATGCACAATGCACATTTTTTTTGTTTCTGTCTCTAAAGCAGTATTAGGGTAGTCTGCCATATGTTGTAAATTCTGTTTCTTTAATATGGATGCAATTCTATTTGGTTTTCCACCAGAGTGTGTTTTCTAACTGAAGACCATGCTCAGAGATAACATAAATGGTCAGTGCTCAGTGGTAAACATTGGAGATGCATTACTGACAGTTCCTTCATCACTATTTTCTAGCATAAAAACCTCCCACATTTTACATACAAGGATGATAAAGCAGAAAAGACTAGCATATAAGATTCCTTTTAAATGAGGTAGTACACCATGCTTAGGAGCATGGAAACAGAGCAGCTGAGACACATTTTGGGCCACTTCCAACTGCAAAAATGGTAAGAGTGGAGGAAGCTGGAGGGTCAGCTGCAAAAAGCGGATAAAAGCAAGCACACTTTTCGTGGAAATGCTGCAAAGTGGCCACAGTTAGACATGGCCATAAAAGAATGGATCACACATCACCGGAACAATGGCTTCTCAGTCTCTACAAAAATAATATATGAAGCCAAACGCATTGCTGTAGAGAAAGACGTTCACGATTTTACTGTATCACCATCGTGGTGCTACAAATTTGAGGCGATGTGGCCTTGCTATGCACACCAAAACTAGAATTGTGCAAAAAATGACAAAAGAATATGAATCGAAAAATTATCTCTCTTCATAAATTTGTAATTGATGCTAGGAAGAAAAATGGGTTTGAAGTTGTCCAGATTGGGAATATGGATGAAGTCACGCTAACCTTTGATGCGCTATCTAATAGGACAGTTGATCTGGTGCCACAACGATCACTGTGAAAACCTCCGGACATGAGAAAACCCATTACACGGTTGTGTTGTCTTGCTGTGCAGATGGCACCAGATTGCCAACCATGTTAATTTTCAAAAGGAGAACATGTTCATGAAGATGGATGGACGAAAATGGAATGAGAGTATGGGTTGAAAAAGTGTGATCCAAACGTCTTGGAGGGCTTCTGAAAAAACCTGCCTTATTAGTACTTGACCAGTTTAGAGCACGTATTAGTGAAACTACAAAAAAAGTGCTTTAAAGAAGTAGGCACTAATCTAGCTGTAATTCCTGGAGGTCTTACTAGCCAGTTGCAACCTCTCAACGTTTCTATCAGCAAACTATTTAAGGTCTTTATGCGAGAAGAGTGCATCAAATGGATGGTTGCTGGTTATCCTGATCTGATACCTACTGGGCGAATGAAGAGGCCCACTATCACTCAAGTTTGTGAATGGGTGAAAACATCATGGCACTCAGTGAAGAAGGAAATCATTGTTCAGTCATTCAAAAAATGTGGCATTAGCAATGCTTTGGATGGAAACAGAGATGGTATCTTATATGAAAATAGTAATGAAAGTGATGTCTGTGATTGTGAGCAACTGAGCTTCATAAATTCTGACTCTAGCAATGATGAGTTATTGGGGTTCACAGAACACTATAAGAGTATTCAAACCTTAGTCTCTCTTCATTTGTTAATGACCGTGATGATGGTTCTTAATGCCACTGTTGACTGCTGTTTTCTTTACATGGTTGAAATATTAATCTGAGCTACCGGTAGTTTATTAAATGGTTTAGTACACTAGTACAATAGTTTTGATTCAGAATATTTGTTTCCTTGTTTTCCTCCTCTAAAAAAACTAGATGTCTTATTTATATAGCTCAATCAGATTCCGTAGCGCTGTACAATTGTAACCAGGCAACTGGACGTACAGGAACGTAGAGGAGGAGGGCCCTGCTCAATGAGCTTACATTCTAGAGGGAGTGGGGCATAGTGACACAAAGGGTAAAAGGGGTACGAAGTAGGTTGTTGGAAAAGTATTCACTGAGGGCTTAGTAGGTAATTTTTGACAGTTGCAGGAGAGGAGTCATGGGGAGTGGAGGATACAAACCTGCTAACAGTTTAATTGATATGCTTTCAATGATTTTTTTGAAAGAGTGGAGACTGGGTGAAATTCTTACGGAGAAGGGAAGGGAGTTCCACAGAAGAGGGGCAGCCCTAGAAAAAATCTTGGATGTGAGCATTAGTGGTGGGAGTACGGACAGAGGATATACGTAGGTCTTTGGAAGAGCGTAGGTGCCTCAACGGGACTTATTTGTGTATTAGGGAGGATAGGTAGGTTGGAGCAGCATTATGTAGGGACTTGTAAGCAAGCACCAGAATTTCAAATTGAGCCCTATATCTAACAGGAAGCCAATGCAGGGACTGAAAGAGCAGGGAGGCGTGGGAGGTGCGAGCCGACAGGAAAATGAGCCTCGCTGCCGCATTCATTATAGATTGCAGCGGTGCAGTCTGGGAACACGTAATACCACTGAGAAGGGCATCTGGGGTTAAATAGGGGAGGATGCACGCTATGTTTTTGAGATGGAAGCGACAGGATCTGGCGATTGAATGGATATGAGGGGTGAAGGAGAGATTGGAGTCAAAAAGAACACCCAGGGAGCGAGCCTGCAGGGTAGAGGTGATGGTAGCACTGTTGACTTGGAGGGAGACACACAGGAGTAGTAACACTTGAGGGAGGAAAGAACAGAAGTTCTGTTTTGGACAGGTTGAGTTTAAGGAAGTGAGCAGCCATCCAGTTGAAAATCAAAGAGAGGCAGTCAGCGACACGAGCCAAGATGGGCGGAGAGAGATCAGGAGAGGACAAGTAGATTTGCGTGTCATCCGCATAGAAACGATAACAGAAGCCAAAGGAGCTGATGAGTTTACCAAGGGAGGCGGTATAGATAGAGAACAGTAGGGGACCAAGACAGAACCTTGGGAGATGCAGACAGTGTGTGGTTGGGGAGGGGGGAAGAGGCAGAGTCAGAGAAAGAAACACTGAAAGAGTGCAGAGAGAGGTAGGAGTAGCACCAGGAGAGAGCAGTATCCTGTAGACCAAAATTACGGAGAATGCAAAGAAGCTGTTAATGATCAATAGTGTCAAAGGCAGCAGAAAGATCAAGGAGAATTAGGATAGAGTAATGGCCGCGGGATTTAGCAGTAATTAAATCGTTGGATATTTTGGTCACAGCCATTTCGACAGAATAACCAGTGTGGAATTTAGACTGAAGGGGGTCAAGCAGAGAGTTGGATTTGAAAAATTCAGTCTGGTGTACACAACTCTCTCGAGGATTTTGGAGGCAAATAGCAGTAGCGAGATAGGGTGATAGTTGGATGGGGACTTGGGGGTCAAGGCTGGGCTTTCAGAATTGGGGTTACAGTTGCATGTTTGAAGGGTGAGGGAAATGTGCCAGAGGAAAGGGAGAGATCTCTGATTGTAGAGATCTCAGTGAAGTGAGATGCAAAGTTTGTGGCGGACAAGTTGGTAAAAGAAGGGGGGAGTAAAAGGGCGAAGATCATCAAAAGTGTGAAATAGGTGTTTGGGTTGATGGGACAGTGTACTTATAAGGGTGTCAAATTAATTTACTTTTGCAGTGGAAAGAGCCAGGCTGTAGGAGAGCAGCATACATTTATAGTGGAGAAAGTCAGATGCAAAGTGAGACTTTCTCCAGCAGTTCTAGAACATTTTTGGAGGTAACGGGTCAGCTTGGTGTGCCAGGGTTGCAATTGGGGGCGCTTTCTACGTTTAATTGTAGGAGGTGCCATTATGTTGAGTTGTGAAATGAGATTGCAGAGTTGGGGCAAGTTAGATTTGAGATGGTTAAAAGGAGAGTTTGGTGGAGAAATGCTGGAGATCAAGGCAGTGGAGGTTTCTGCAAGATTGGAGAGTTGAGGGTGGTGAGATTTGGGTACGGGGTATGTTGATGTCAAATGTTAGCAGATGGTGGTCAGACAAAGGAAATGGAACAGTGGAGAGATTAGAGGTGGCACAGAGATTGGTGAAGATGAGGTCAAGAGTATTTCCTGCTGTATGAGTTATGGTCAGGCGTGTCTTATGGAGTGAAAAATACAGCATAGATATCTATATTTCTATCTATATCTCAATGGTGGTTTTGCACTCCAGCTCTCCTTTAAGTTTTGGCCCGGTGCCTGAGGAAAGTTCACAACTGTGAACTGAAACGTTGTCCATTTGGATTAAATGCTTACATTTTTTTGAAGTCCTTGAGTGCTAGCTTTTTTTCTTGGAGGGTGTGTGTGTGTGTGTGTGTGTGTGTGTGTGTGTGTGTGTGTGTGTGTACACACACACACACACACACACACACACGACCCAGCGCTCTCACCTATCACTAAACGGCAGCTTCAATGTTGACAGATTGTATTTTTTTTAAAACACCTAATCTAGGTGTTTTAGTTACATTATATGATCATACATTGCTTAAGCCTGCCACAATGTCAATGTACCCCATCTTTAGAAGGTTCTTCTCTAACAGCCTAAGGTCCACTACCCCTACATGCAAGGGCGACACAGGTAACCCAACCTCCATCAAGTCATTGACTATCCCCCACATTATGGCCGAGCTACGCAAGCGCAGCATCCCTTCCCCAGCTACGGCCAGGAAAGCGGAGCTAATTGGGCTCATGCGGACCAATACGGACGCAGGGAAGGGCACAAGTATCTCTAACGACTCCAACCTCCACACAATGATCGCCTCACTGGTGTCCTCCATTGGGCAAATCAACAATAGGCTAGAAAGACTGGAAGCTCGTAGACTTCCCATTGCGGCAACGGGGCCCCCCACGGATGTACTTCCAAACGCACCAGTTACAACCAGGTAATGGTGTGTCTGTTATTTCCAGATCACACGTTATAAATCCGGCCCACATGGTACCGGCAAATCTTAAAAAGGACATCCTGAAAGGCAAAGACGCTAATCTTGTCTCCCTTCAGATTGCTTCCCAGGATGTCGCCAAGAATCGCACGTACGCGTGTGGGGGATATCTAGGTAGTTCTTAAATCAAGAGACCCTAGACTCAGCTAGAAGCTATCGATCCCAGATTTTATCGTTTTTGTTATCTATAGGGATGTTTTGTGTTCGATTCATCTACATAGAAGGGAAGAGCTGGACCTCTATATGCATAAGCTGGTTACAGGGGTACCGTCCTTTTTATGACTACAACCAGTCATTATCCTCTAGGGTGTCTGCAGCTCTGGCCTAGTACAGCGTCAGCATGGCTTGGAGCCAACTGAACACAGCTTTTTTGCAGACACTTCTGGTAAGGACACCAGCTTGTATAGTTTGCTCTTCTGCCGCACGTTCGGCCAATTTCTCACCAGTTTCACCTGACTGCCCAGTACGGCAACCCTGAGCAGCTCGAGGGTTGATAAACAGGGAAAAGATACATTAGAGCGCCCAATCGTATACCTTGGGAAGTCAGATTTTTACTTTTAATGAAGGATCATGTGGTTATAGTGTCTGCCGTCTGTTGCATGTGTGCTCACTGTTTCAGGGCACAAGTGAAAACCATGTGCCCTAATAAAATGCATTATAAACCTTACTTGACCTCGGTTAATGTTTGTATGCTAGCTAGACTACTGTCCACACATCCTTCAATACTCTTTGTGGATTTCTTGATAACTGGTTTTACTCAGGGTTCCCACACGGGCCTTATCCACATGCCAACAGGGATATTAGAATGTAACACTCTTCCATCAGCCATGGCCTATACCAAGGCAGTAGAGGTGCTATTACAGCTAGAGGTTGAGCAAGGGTTCTTACTAGGGCCTTTCACGGAGCATCCTTTTTCCAGCTGGAGAACTAATCCCATTGGCCTAGCCTCCGGGAGAAAACTCTGGCAAACAAAGACTGATCATAGAGCTATCAGCACCACACTCCTCAGGGGTCCCAAGTCTAAACTCGCTGATCCCGTCAGAAGAATTCTCTCTACAGTACACAACAATTGACAATGCCGTAAACGCTATCTTGACTGCAGGCATGGGGGCCTGGCTCAGCAAAACCGTCAATCCCTTCAAATTTTTGCCCATTCACCCGTCTTTATGGCACCTGCCCAATATTAAATGGAATGGCCTGTATTATTTTTTTCACTAGACATTGTGTTGGCTCCTCCTGAATATGTTCAGGTGCCATAGCGTCATCCACTATCTAGATGATTTAAAAAATTTTTTTATTGAAAGCAATTCTTCCCCCTCGAGCAGCTTGGACATAGCAGTCACGTTACTCAACACACTAGGGGTACCAGTCTCACCAAAGAAAACAGATGGTCCTGACACCTTTAATTTCTTGGGGATACACCTGGATTCGGTGACCATGGAAGCTAGCCTTCCACAGGAGAGTCAATAGCATGCGCCACGATATCAACCATAACATGCTTACTGGCGTCTGTAACCGGAAAGAATTGCAGTTGTTGTTAGGCTTCCTGAACTTCGCTATGAGAGTCATCCTTCAGGGTAGAGCTTTCATCTCCAGGTTCCTCAGCCTACTCACCACATTCCCTGATGACCGAAGCCGTACCTCCCCTCACGCCCAAGCCATGGGGGACCTCCTTATGTGGCACACATTTCTCTTTAACTCGGAGAAGCATGTTTCTCCCACAGGTTTCTGTACACTCCCCGGTCATTCGGACCGATGCAGCAGCTGCCACGGGTTCGCAGTCTTATTTGGCGAAGAATGGCTCTGGGGTAATTGGCCAGTGAAAGTACAAGAAATGGAGGGGTCTACAGAAACTCTGCTCTTTTTGTGGTATGCCCTGTTGTGGCAGCAGCGGTGGCTTGGGACCATTTGTGGTCCGGCGAAACAGTTCAGTGTTTTTCAGGCAATCTGGCGATTTGCCACATTATTAATGTAAAGCATGTGATAGGGTGTTTTCCTTATACAAGAAGTTCATGGCAGAATATCACCTGCATAGCATCCCTGGTGGCCTTTGTCACTTTTTGCCACCTCAAGTTAGTTATCCCACAACACAATAAAATTATACCTGACAGGCATCCAGCACCATATGTACTCTACTTTCCCCAACAACTCTGGTTTCCTCTCCTCATCCTATCAGGGCCATACTTAAAAGCATATCGAAGGCTAACGGTCCTACACCACAACAAAGGCTACCCATCAGCAAACAGTTATTCAAAGATATGTCTGATCTAATAGATTCAGCCCCTTTTGAACCCCTCACTAAATCTGTCATAAAAACCAAAACAAGCCAAATGGGTCAACCTGTCCACATACCGTATTATCCCATGAACAGCTGGTGCCCGGTGAAGGTTTTTGATTCCTACCTCCTCACTATACCAATGCCTCTTTTGTCACTTCATGGGGCTATCCTCACCATGTCCAAATTCATGTTATTCATACGCTTATTGTTAACAAGGCTAGGAATGAACCCTAGTAATTATTTAGGGGCCGCCTTTATGGCATCGAGCCAGGACATTCCAGTCCATATCATTAAATCTGCCTATACAACATACATACCTCAAACAGTACAGGAAATACGAAAGGCATTCGAAAATATCTTCTTAATTGTACCTACGTTTTATTATGTTCTTTCTCAATAAATGTATTTTGAACATATTACGTCTTCCTTTTTGCCCACTTTTATTACTGGCCTACAGCATACGTCGGTTTCGGTACACTTCAACCGACTTTCTCTATCACAAGTTCTGTTCACCAATCTTACTATCATAACCAATGTAGCCCCGAACATAAATGGGAAGGTATGGCCTGAAGTTGTGGGAGGGGCTTTGGACCTTTAAAAGCACTCCCCCCTTTGCTAACCTACCGTGATCGGTCTGATGATCTGCTACCCCACCCTCCACTCCCTTTATGCAACATACTCTACTAGTGTAAGCCCACTTATATTACTGGCTTACAGCATACGTTTGTTTTGGCACACTTTAACCGACTTTCTTTATCACCAGTTCTGTTCCCCAGTCTTACTTCTATCATAACCGATGTATCCCCGCAACACAAAAAAAAATATATAATTTTTTTTGAAAAAACAAAAATGCTAACTTTGGCCAGCGTTTGTGGCTACTACAAAAGACTGGACATACCCCATTTTAAATACCTTGGGTTGTCTACATTTGAAAATGGTATGCCATGATGGGGTTAATTCACATTCCTGGGCTACCATATGGTCTCAAAAGTTAACAGAACCAGCAAACCAAACTGGCAAACTGAATTGAGCAAGCCCTAAATTGACCATGTAACTTTCCACAGTAAAACCTGTACATGGGGGGTTATTGTTATACTCTGGAGATTTCGCTGGACACAATTATGAGTGTTTAAAACAGTAAAACTTATAACGACTATGAAATCACCAGTAAAAGTGCAGGTTTTGTGTAATGCTAACTTTGGCCAGCGTTTGTGACTACAAAAGACTTTGACATACCCCATTTTGAATATCCTGGTTTGTCTTTTACAAATGGGTATGCCATGATGGGGTTAATTTTCATTCCTGGGCTGCTATACGGTCTTAAAGGCAACATAGGCCCAGCAAACCAATCTGGACAATTTCAATGTGCAAACATGGAAAAGGGGTAAAGCCCTACATTTAACCCCTGTAAGTTTGCAGAAACCCATAAATCCTCTTGTACTCGAGAGATGTTGCTGAACACATATTGGGGTGTTGTTTGTCAGTAACACATTACAGGAACTGAGAATCCATGCCTAAAGTACAATGTGAGAGAAAAAAAACACAAAAAAATTTACACAAGTTTGATGGTAGACTGGTGGTAGAATTATTGCATGAAAAGTGTTAAAATACCACCATTTGAAATACCCTATGGTGTCTTCTTTTCAAAAATATTTTGTTTGATGGAGGTGAATTACATTGGCTGGCTTCAAAAATGTCCCAAATGGGACATGGGTGCCTATGACCAGCTGTGAAAATTCCAAGTTGGAAAACTGGAATGTGCACCCTCCAAATAAGGTATTTTAGCCCCCAGAGAACCCAACATACCTATACATGGGTGGTATCACGGTACTCTGGAGATGTTGCTGAACACATATGGGGGTGTTCTTTGGCAGTAACCCTGTGTATTGTGCAATCATCTCCATTTATAGACCATTTGTATTGTATGTTCACGAATTGTACAGCGTTGCGGAATCTGTTGGCACTTTATAAATACCAGTAGTAGTAATAATAATTTGACAGTGGGCAAATGAATATCTAAGCTTTTTGCGTTAACTTTGTAATGATTTATATTCTAGGAGCTCTTTTTTTTTTTTTGTGAGGCATGGTTCACATCATGCATAGTTCGCATGCTTTTTGTGAATAGAAAACTCAAAATGTTTGCTTTTTTGAAGTCAAAGTAACTCTAACCCACACCTTTAATCTTATTTAATTAATTTCTTATTCGCTTTTGTTGAATTTTTGACACCATCAATATGTAGAGCAATAGCATAATGTATTGGTTAAAACAGGTTGGTAGTTACTGTAACTTAGATGAACATCAAACCGGATTTTAGAACAAATGTATACATAAATGCAGTCATTTCTAAAGGGTTCACATACTTTTTTTTGCCACGCTGTGTTTGTATGTAACTCTTATTCGCTAAACACAATTTTCTTTTGTAAATTTTAACTCCTGATTTATTGATCTAACCTGAAATAGCCTAGCTTTGACTACAGCTATACAACTAGTTCGGGGTTTGTTTTTTGTTTTGTTTTTTTAAATAAGATCCATTTGCAGTTGTATTTTCTATGATCATTATGGTGTTCTCGCTATTTTGATTTAGTGTACCCTCTACTTCCTATATTAAACGTAAAAAATGCAGTCACCACCTTTTTCTCCTGCAATATCATGCAGGCATTGTTTTGTCTTTTTGTTCGATCCATTGAAGAACTAGGGATTAATAGTGTGACCACTGCTGTCTTCCAGTCAAATGCTCTCCATAAGAAGCATTCAGAGTAAGTAACCCGTGAGAACTGAGTTTGACTCTATTCTTAAAGCAGAAGTGGTCTTAGTGGCTGTCAGGAAAACAGCCACTACAGGTGTGTTTAGCCCTATAATGGAAATCTTAAACTGGCAATGTTTTACATTGCAGGGCTAAAATGACAACAGCAATGCACCGAGACCACTTCATTGAGAAGTTTGCGTCCCTTTTGAAACATAACTCGGTAGCATAACGTTCCCATATTATCAGGATTGTTTCCTTAATTGTAAGTTTTCTGAAATGTACCCTGGAATTGGAAATGTAATGCTATAATGGTAGTGCTGGAAACATAACCAAATTACCAAATTTTTCCAACTTGCCAATTTTGGCCTAAAAGTTTTTAATTCCCTGATGACTTCCCAACAATTTATGATTTAGGAAAAAAAAACTTGATTGCAATTTGTAGTTGCACAAAGAAAATGCTGCATGAAAAAGTATGATTTTGATTTTATTTTCTCCTTCCCAGAAAAGAATGGAAAAAGACATCTGAATGTGAAGAATTTGGATGATAGTTCAGTGCCTCCTAGCCACAGCAGTCCTCTGGCGTTAAATCAGATGCACATGAATCCAATACAATTACCTGTTAGCCAAACTTTACACAAACCTGAAGTATGTCAAAAGGAGAGTAAAAGTTCAGTGGAAGCTGTTGTGGACTGCAATGGTGATAGTGCCTTTTATGAAGATAAAACGACAGACTTTGTTACTAGAGATCTTATTGATGAATATTCAAGTCCTGATCACATTCGATACACCAGTGAATTTCTACAAATGCTTCAGTGGGTCAAACCTCTTCCAGCCCTTTTGTCTCCTATACACTTTTATCCTTCAATCACACAGGTGAGTTAAGGACTCTAAAACAAAAGGGAAAAAAATAGTTTTCCTGGCACTAGAGAATCCTGGAGTTTCCCCATCCCACTTACCTGAATCCAGCGCCGATGTTCCTCGGCGCTGGGTCAGGCTCCGCACGCGCATTAGCCCCATAGGAAATTGTTATTCAATGCTTTCATATGGGAAAATCTGACGCTTGAAGTCTGTGAGAACGTCCAGCAACGGACCAAAAGTTTGTTTGGATTCTGGAAGCGCCCCAGCGGCTGTCTGTTAAACAGCCACAGAGGGCAGACTTAGAGCTGCAATGTAAACATTGCAGTTCTCCGGAACTGCAATGTTTTACATTGCAGCACGAAGTGCAAAAGGGTCACAGCATCCAGACTACTTCAGTTAGCTGAAGTGATCAGGCTGCCTACAGTGTCCCTTTAATTATACTATTTAAATATTTCAAGAAAGTGGATTAGGGGGACATTGCCTCTTCTCTTCTCCTCCAAAATCCCTTTGTAGACTTTTTTGGTAGAGGAGGAGCAAATGTCAAAGATTCCAAGTTCAAAAAAGTAATTTGGGCGTTTTAATCAAGGTAGATGTTTCAGAGCACGAAAATAAAGTTATTCACTCTCCTTTTCACAGAGAGCAGAAGCATAATCTTGAGCAATGTTTTCCGTGGCTATATCAGAATTACTTAACTACCCAGGACATGAGTCTGAGACATCCTAATTTAGAGACCTTTTCATACAGGCGGATACTGATCCACATAGGGAAAAAATGCCCTGCATAAGGAAAGAAGCAGTTTCATTTGGAGTGCTTTTCAAACAACTAAAAGTTGAACAAAACCTTTACATATAGCAGCTATCAGTCATTAAAAGGACCCTTTAAATTGACCTATCTGATAATCAAAATTTGCATACTATGTTGTATTGGTAAGCTTAGAGTACTTTTGTATCCACCTACAAATAGAGGAGAAATAAGTGAAATTGCAATGAAGCGTTGTTATTTAATGCAAGATATTTTTGTTGCCATATATTTTAACTGCTATAACATCTGGCTAAGATATTAATACATTGAAAAGTTAAACCAACCTTGTTCATTTTTCCTTCTGTTTCTAAAATAGTTTGATAACAGTCCTGTTTTTGTTTTCCCTTTTTCCTCCTAAGGATTTATTTGGAGAGTTGACAGATTCCAGTGATGGAGACGAACGTGCCTGTGCAGAGTCATTTTTAAATCCCATAGAATGTCTGAAATCAGATGCAATTCCAGCCTGTGTTAACGATCAGATATGCTCTGTGCCCTTAAATTTGCCTGTTTTTGATAAAAGTGCTGACATTTATTTTGATTCTAAGAGAAGTAAAGAAAAACATGAAGTTGCTGTTATAGAGAGTTTGAAAGACAAAACAGACTCAGACTTTGAGAGTTCCAACCACGTTCCTATCACTGCAGAAATACAGGAAACATCTAGTTGCCATCAACATTTGCAGTGTCCAGACAATTTTGAAATACCTGCATTGATTAAGGAAACGTGTATGGAATCCTGTGACCTAGGTCAAGACTACCAGTTAAGGGCATCTGCAGTAAGTGAAGTTAAACATACAGACAGCAGTGAAGTGTCTGTTGAAATGGATTTGGGTGTTCAGGAAGATCTCTCAAATACAGTACAGGAAGCAAAGGACACAATGAAAAATCATGTGGATTTCCCATGCAGTATGTCCTCCGGTTTACTTACATCAAATAATTCCAGAACATCATCTGCAAGCAAGTGTGATGCTGAAATGCCAAAAAGTTTTGGTTGTCTACAGAAGAGCAGTTTTGACGAGGTAGAGGGTTTAGTTGATGGAGCAAACTTAATTGGTATTCAGGAAGACCTAACTTTGGAGGAACATTCTAGTGTAACTAAATTAAAAGACCACTTTAACAATCCCCACATGCAGGAGTCACACAGATCAACTGCCTGTGAAAATACAGGCCTAACTAACACTGGAAAAACTCCATCTGAAATGGAAACCTATAGAAATAAAGAACACGCACATACTGAAGAAATAAAACCTTGTGAATCTCTAAAAAAGTGTTCAGAGAGCATAGATGAACTGGTTTTAAATGGTAATTTTGCTAGTGGTAATATAACAAACTTGTTCAAAGATTCTCTAGAACAGTTTGACAACTCTTCAGTTCTGCCAGTGTGTCTGTCAGTGAATAATAAAAATCAAGATCCTGTACATTTGAATTCAACAGAAGCAAAAGATAATTTGGAATCTGTGATTTTACCAAAACAGAGTTCTGCCATATTGCCAATTGCTAATGAAGAGCTAGCAGTGCTAAACACTGGCATTGTTAAGAAATGTTACAAACCTGAAGACAAGAGTAAAGTGTCATCAAGAGTGCAGAGTGATGCAGTGAAAGCTGACATCACAAGCAGCAGCAAGTGTGATAGCGTTTATGTGGAAAGCAATGGAAGCAAGATTACTGAGGAATTAAAAATAAACACAGAAGAACAAGAGGGCTTAACTAAACCTGAGCATGAACAGTGTAAACAATCTGGTTATACTTTGTTACCGAAAATTGAAAGACCTCTTTCTAAAATAACTTTGCAAGAACTAGACGATCTTAAGAATCATCATGCACAGACCCAGGATGATTTTTCTGATATAAAGCTGCATACAGAACAAAACGGGAAAATGGTTGATATATTGAATTTCATTAATTCATCACTTACTGGAATCCTATCCGAGATGTCCATAAACCCCAACAAAAAATCACATGGGCTTATTCCTGCTAGTGTGAACAATGTAATACAGCAAAAGGAAAGCAATGTAAAATTAAAAGAATATGCCAAACCCAAGACTTCTCTTACATTTTCAAATACACCTAGTATTGCCACAGTGGAAAAGGACATAAAAGTAACAGCAGATGACATTTGTAAGGAAAGAAATGTGAGTGTTTGCAAGCCTACATCTCATGTTCTTGAAACGGTTAATATTTCATTAGGAAATGATTGTAAGGTTAAATTGTGTTCACAAGATGTCTTTCAAAATCAACCAGAATCTTTAAACATGAACCTTGAATGCACAAGGAAGGCAAATACTTTGCTATCTGTTAAAGGTGTTGATTCTAATGATAACAAGCTAATTTTGAGAGACCCTTCTATCAAAGCAGTGCTATCTGTTGCTAGTGATCATGTTTCAAAGTCAGCGGCCCTTGAATCCATTAGTACACTAAAGGCTGATCCAAAGAATGATGTAATGAATTCTTATATAAGCAACTCCAATAAAAGTCCTAAAGCATCTCCTGATGAATTGGATTCTGATATTTCAACAGGAAATGTTTCTCTTCATCTACATACCAGTAGTGAACCAGTTGTGAAAAAGATAAGCAAAGTACTCTGCCCCTTGGAAGAAAATCAATTGAAAGTAAATCCTGATATTAAACTGAAATATTTAGAAGGCAGCCAAATAAGTCAAATGACCAAAGGTAATTTAAACATCCAAGATACAAATACATGCCTTGCAAGTGATGATGATGAATCAGATGATGATGTTCTTGTGCGTAAAGTCAGCTTCAAAAATATTTGCTCAACCAATCTCTCTAAAACCAGCTTTAGCATTGAAATGAATTCATGTACTGTTGTAGATGATCATACTAATAACAACCATCCGAGTGGATACGAAAATCAGTCAAAGATATTTGAAGCTGATAAATTAGTGGATTACTTGAAAAAAGGAGCTGACTTAGACAAAGGTACACCAAGTAAGAGTATTCTGAGAGAGGCGTTCATGCCCCCTGTGTTTTGTAATTCAAATATACAATCCAATGAAAAGTGTGTGAGTAATCCAAATCAAAACCGAATAAAAGAACCCAAATTTCCTGTTGCAAGTCCTACTCCTGAGATGCTGAAACCAGATGCTATTGAACTTAAAGTTAGCACATTTGTACAACTAGGCAATTCAATCCCTGCACCTTTATCTAAAGACTTGATAGATGGTGAAAGCACTGTTTCCAAGAAATCAGAAGCAAAATGTTGTAATGCATCTTCTTGCAAATTACAAACTCCAAGTGCTAATCTTGCTGGACAGTGCACTACTCATGCAGAAAATTGTAGAAAAAATATTCCTGGTAAAAACCTCATATGGAATTTTGATAGGTCAGATTTTGGTTGTGAAACAGTTTACATTCCTTCAAAGCAGTATAACACAAATATGGAAAGAAAGTCTATTAGTTCAAGATCTAGCTCACAAGAACAATGTAGTATAAATACACAATCAGATTCAAAGGATCTTAATATTTTGACACAATCTGTCCCTGAGACTCTAGCAAGTACAACAGAAAACTGTCCCTCACACAAAATTTCACATGGTAGATCTCATTCACAAAATGCTTCTGTAGGACAAACCATTTTGGCTAATGCAGATACATCCACCAAAACCGATCTTTCACCTGAAATGTTAAATAAGGTGAGGTCTGAAATGGGTCCACCACTTCCACCATTACTGGGCCCTTTGCTACCAACTCCTCCTAGAAGCCTAAAACCATTATCCCCTGGGTTTTCCTCCTCAAGTCGTTCATCCTTGCCATCTCCTCTTGATGACTTTATTTCCCCTTTGCGGGCAACTCCTATTCCTCCACTCGTGTCTCCTTTATCTGATAACCGGAGACGCAAATCACCTATTTTTACTACACCGTCCCCTTCAGAGAAAGAAGACAGTAGAATTTTGTCTTCACCTTTGCAGTTTTGTGCAGCTACCCCAAAACATGCACTTCCTGTCCCAGGCAGGTTGCCACCCTCTGCAGCTGGAGGTTCAATATCCAGTGTTCAAGAGAACTCTGTAAAAATCTTGGATACCATGTATCCAGAGTTGTCTGCCCGGGCAAGAACATTGAATATTCTTAAAGGTAATGTTCAACTCAACAGGTGTTTACCTGGAGATTGCAAAAGTGTGCTTGTGAACCAGATAACTGGCTTCAAGGCAATTACATCCAGTTCAACAGCATTCATTAAAACTGGAAGCAACTCTAAAACGAATGTCAAAGACAAACAACGTGCTAGTGAAAGTCCTCAACTGTCTTGTAATAAAAGAACTACTGCTGGTGTTCCAATGCCAAAAAGTGCCAAACGTTTGCGTCTTGACAGTGAATCTCCTGGCACAGAAAGCATTAAAGACTGTTTCCCAATTCCAGCAAATAAGGTTCCAGTAGGAAAAAAACAAGTAGAGTCTTTCAACATTGGGTATTGTAATTCTAAGTCACAAAAAGAAATTGCAAAGGACCAGCAAGTTGATGATGCTGTGTCGAACGCCCTCAAGAAAATAGAGGAATTGTGCTTTGATCTTTTTCCTGTGATCCGGAGTCATGTGTTTGTGGGGACTATTCCCAACATACCAGTGATGAGAAATGAGGAAAAGGAAGTAATCTATGAATTCAGCAGAACTAGAAAGGTAAGTTTGCCCCATACAACCAATAACTATCTCAAAGTTCTAGTGACAAAAATTTTATTGACTTTTATTTTGGTCAATTTGGGTATGTTTAAATGTGAGTTTAAAGTGTCAGTACCATGCAGAAGCTACCTTTTCCTATTGTTTCCTTTTCCATTCTCACAATCTGTTCTTCTTTTCTTCATGTCTGATCTAGTTTTCTTTAAAACATAAGATAAAGTAGGGACTATTGTGGGGATATTTATGGGATGATAATAATAAACAGTCGAGAATTGCCCACCATTGCAATTCTCTTAGATCTTAGAGATCGTTTATCATGTAAGTGAAAAGTATTCCATACAATTAAGATCACAATGTGTTATAAAAATAGATTTAATTTATTGTGACATATAACATAACAATAATATTAGGCAGCATGCATGATATTAATCAGTGAATATTTAGTATAACATAAGTATGCAATACAATGGAATGGCTATACACGTTCCAATGGCTAACAGCATCATCTGTCACTTAAGATTTATGAGGGTACTTGATGGACAAATGTAAAGCTTCACACAGCGAAAAGCCATAAAACCTTGGCTAACAGTTAAATCAACTGAGTAACCCTTTCAATGCTGGCTAGATCCTCCTAGGCATATAGTATCCTATTCTCCTGTGATTCTAAATTAAAATAACATTCAGACCAGCTCATTAATCATTTCCTGGAACCATCCAATAAGAATAATCTACCAGATTTTTTACAAAAGCCGAATTTTAATTTGCCTAAAAAGATATCTTATCTTATATTAGAGCAAATCAATACACCTGGATAAAAACAGCGGAATGCTAACACGTGATCCTATCACATTAATATATAATTATTCTTAATTCCACCTGCAGTATCGAATGTTTATAGCTATATATTCTTTAGTTAACTAAGATTTGTAAATATTGAAACCTGACAGTGATTTATCCAGTCATATATCATGCTATTAGTAAATTTTAATTAATTTAAATTAATTAAATAAAACCAGCATAAATACCAGTTATGTAGATATTCTCATCAGATGAGTAGGTAGTCCCAGGAACTTGATTGGTTGTATGGAGGTGATTGAGTGATAGAGAAAAGTGGTGTTGGTTAGAAAGTCAGAGTAAAATTCTAAGTGTCAAAGAGTTTGAGTTGAGTGTCCAAGAGAGTTTAAGAGTAGAGTGTTAGTCCCAGAGAATGTTTCTTGAGTCTCTCTCTGCATGTCCAAATCGATTGCCCAAACTCCAACTCGTCTCTCTACCAACCAACTTCTCTTCCCTTTGTCCTAACTTTTAAAGGGCCAGTCTCTCTGTACGTCATGAGTTGATAAGCCAATAGGAAACTGTAGATGGGTTCAATCGATGGATCGCAATTTAGGTATTTGATCCATAGAGGGCAGTCTTGCCTAACTAAACCTTCTTATCCAGGAAAGAGTTAACTTTTCCTGATGACGATTTTGACGTCCTTTGGCTTATCTAAAATGACTACCATAACTTAAATTTGCTGTCAGTTCAAAGCGTTTGTCTCAGTCTTTGTGGCAACTACTTTGATCGTAATTTCTAAAATTGACCGTTCTAAACTCAATTTCACCCCTTACTTACAATGGAACCTTGTAAAATTTAGAAAGTAATATTAATTACTTAGTCTTCTCTATCACTAGTGTCTGTTTATATAATGCATTCCTTAGCTCAAGCTCAGTGAAATCAAGGAAATTGTGTCTTTGTTATCCTGATAGCAAAATGGAGTCTGCTCTGTTCTGAGTGACTCTGGCAATATACACTTTTAATTTCTTTCTTAGCACAAAATGTCTGCTGATATAAATATCCTGACACTATTCTGTCTTATGTATTTTTATTATGCCTGACATTCATGACCCAATCAGGAGTTTAAGTCACTCCATTTCCTGTATGAAAAAGAGTGAGTACTTTCTTTGACACAGGAAATTAAGTTGTCTTAAGGTCCTCCTTTGGTCAAAGAAAGTCAAATGTAGGAAAAATACATAAAACAAAATATTCCCTACATTGTTTAAAGAAAACTAGATCAGAAATAAAGAAAAGAACAGATTCTGACAGAGGAAGAGAAGAAGAAACAATAGGAGAAAGGTAAGTTTGGCATGGCAGTGCCACTTTAAACTATTTAAGCTGCTATTGAAAGAGTTCACCTTTGCTGGTCACGTTGCAGTTTTTAAGGGTCTGAAATGATCCATCCTACTGGTCTATGGAAAGGTTTTTCTTGAAGTTTGACATATATTGAGGATGCCCCAGGTTCCTGTGGCCTGGCCCCTCACTCACAGTATTGCTGAGGCAAAGGTTCCACTTACACATTAGCAATAACAATTTTGTTCAATTTTTGATGGCGTTGATTGGTTGAGTGAGTGTGCCGATATGCTAAATGTTGTAAAAATGTTGACCTAGCTAATGCTGAAGTGGAACTTCTAAATGAACTATAAGGCAAGCAAAGAGCCAGGGTGGTTCTCTGTGAAACCCCCAATGGTTTAACAGAGAACCAGGGGATGGTATTCGTAAACCTTAAATCACTTACCACTACAAAGGATTGTACTGGTTTTGGTACATTAAAAGTACACTATAGTAACCACAGCATTAGCTTAATCCCTTAATGCTGTTACGGCGTTCTATGCTGTCCTGCATTAATTGGGCTTTAATGCCATTGCGGCAGCATAGAACACTGTAACGGCTTTGAGCCCCTCGGGGCCTTGTGATCATTTTCTCAAAGAGTTCAAAGATGTGTATATGTAACTTCATACTTAGTGTATTTTAATAATACAAGTACATATACTAATATTAAAATAAACTTAGAATGAAGTTACATATATATATTACATATATTTGATATAGCTGTATACGTTTAAATGTCTTTCAAAATTGTGAATTGTATTACAGCGATGATATTGTCAGTGAAAGTGACTTTTTTGCATTTTTCACAGACAAATGGCACTTTCACTGACGATATTATTGTTGTGACACGTTTTACTGTTTTGAAACACTATTTGTGTTCAGTGTAGTCTCCCGAGTATAACAGTACCCCCCCATGTACAGTTTTAATGGGGTTCGTTTGTTCCTTTAATTACACATGGGAGGCTCCTGCAAGATCTAGCAAGTCATTAACAGTGCAAGAGATAAGAAATTCCAACAAACATAATTTGCAATGAAGGAAGTGCAAACATAACATCTTACTTTACAGAAAGTGTTTAGAATGACTGTGTAAGTCACATGCAGGGATGGTGTGCCTGGGGCTGCATAGACAAAATGATCTTCTAAGTGGCAGAGAATTGAGCAGTGAGACAGCAGGTGTACAATCTATGCACCAAAACTGCTTCAATAAGTTTAAAGTTGTTTTGGTGACTATAGTGTCCCATTAACCCCTTAAGGACCAAACTTCTGGAATAAAAGGGAATCATGACATGTCACACGTCATGTGTCCTTAAGGGGTTAAAGGACCACTAGTGCCAGAAAAACAAACTAGTTTTCCTGGTACTATGTAGTCCTTAGGTCCCCCCTCCCCTGCTGGGCTGAAGGGGTTCAAACCCCGTCAGCCACTTACCTTTCTCCAGCGCCGGGCTCCCTTGGCACTGGGGAACTCTCCTCCTCCTGCCGATGCACGCACATTCAAACCGCCCATAGCAAAGCATTACTCAATGCTTTCCTATGGACGTCAGCGTCGTCTCACTGTGATTTTTGCAATGAGAATCGCGGAAGACAGCCACTAGAGGCTGGATTAAACTTGCAGTGTAAACATAGCAGGTTCTCTGAAACTGTTTTCAGTTGCAGGGTTAAAACTAGAGGGACCTGGCACCCAGACCACTTCATTGAGTTGAAGTGGTGTGGATGCCTATGTTATTCAAAGTTTCCTTTTATAGGGATAAAAAGGAAATACATTTCCAGTACAATAGAATACTCTTGTTCAGTGGTACATAAATTACTCCTAAATCGATAGGATTATATAACCTCATATTGATGGGTTAGTGGGCATATGCTCTCCTTCGTTTAACACATTGTTTCACTGATTCCTTAGAGTGCTAATCTCCAAGGGAAATCACTGTGTGATTATGTGGCAGCAAGTGTCCTGCTTATGTTTTCTACTCTTGAGTGGATCATAATTGTAGCAATCTCCAGAAGTGAGTGCAGCTGTAAAACGTCCCCCTTTCTGTGATTTTAAAGGAGACATGTTTTATATTCTTGCTGTCTGAAATCTGTGCAATGCCACACAACTATTATCTTTCCTTTCTCCATTGAATAGCATTTTGGTATCTTTTATTAATTTTTTTTTTTTTTTTTAGGCTTTATTTTTATTTTATTTTATTTTTATAATTCTTTATTTTGTCAATGACAGATATAATTATGCAATGCAATTTTGTGGCTTGCGCAGAAGCCGCGATATCATTCAGGCAGCTTACATGTTATTTCTGTTACATCGTTTGTGATATACACCGGTCTGTCATCGTTTTTCAACAATACAGTAAGAACAACACTTAGATAACTTATAACTTAAGAAGTAACTCTTAACTGGGCCTTTAAGTTGCCGTCACGTTGCAGCGGCTTTGGTGTGTTGAACTTATAAGTCGGGTTACCGGTAGGCCCGACCTTGTATTAGGGAAAGGGTAGATTAACCTAAAAAGAGGGGTGAAGAGGGAAGGGGGTGGTCTTGGACGTTTCTAGTGGTCTGCTAGTCATCTGTGTAGTTAGCCCATGGTTCCCACACCTTCGTGAATGCTTTCATAGAGCCTCTAGGCTTTATTTTTACGATGCATTAAAATGTGTGTCACTACCTTCATAAAGTTTCTGTAAAAAAAATTAAACATGCCAACCTTAACTCATTTGCGCAGATAGGACATGTCCTTAGGTCTTTGACTGCATGGGCTTTAGCAAAGTTGGTGCATTTTAATGTTTGTGCCCCTTTTAATCTGACCCTGATCAGGGTTAATATGTCACACCTTTTTTTTTCTCTTAAGGAACACTATAGGGTCAGGATGACAAACATGCATTCCTGACTCTATAGTGCTCCTCTCTCTCCCCTCCCAGCACTTATAAGGCAACTGCCCCAGGAAGCGCCTCAAATGGCCATCTAAGGAGTGGCCACTAGAGGTGTCACTAGAGAGCAATGTAAACACTGCCTTTTCTCTGAATAGACAGTGTTTACAGAAAAGACTGCAGGGACGGACTATAGTCACCAGAACAAATACAATAAGCTGTAGTTGTTCTGGTGACTACAATGTCCTTTGAACTTCACTTTAGTTTTTTTAAATATATAGCTCATCTGTTTCCTCCATTTCAGTTATTACACCCAGTGCACCCCTAGAAATTACCCACAGTATAACAGTCTACACAAAATTAGGCCCCTAATTGACTACTTGTCAAAATGAAATCATAACATTACACCCATAACCAAAATATCTAATATATAAAATTAGGCCCTTTTGAAATTCAAGGGAAGACTGCTTTTTAAGCAGTACATTCATCTTTTGTTTCAGTTATTGTACCGGAGGATTGTAGGAAGGCAGATGATGTTCCTATATTTAAAAAGGGTTCAAAATCCTTGCCTGGAAATTATAGACCTGTGAGCTTAACCTCTGTGACTGGGAAAATATTTGAAGGGCTATTAAGGGATAATCACGAATTTATTGGGAATAACTTTATTAGCAATAATCAGCATGGTTTTATGTCGAACTAACCTAATTGCATTCTACGAAGTAGTAAGTAGAAGGGTGTTGCAGTGGATGTGATCTACTTGAATTTTGCCAAGGCATTTGATACGGTTCCTCACGATAGGTTAGTGTTCAAACTAAAAGAAATTGGTCTAGATGAATATTCTTGTTCTTGGGTAGAACATTGGCTTAAAAACAGAGTACAACGAGTTGTCATTAATGGTAAATTTTCAGGCTGGACAAAAGTGGTAAGTGGTGTCCCTCAGGGTTCTGTTTTGGGACTGCTTCTATTTAACATATTTATAAATGATCTTGAAATAGGCATTGAAAGCCATGTATCAGTGTTTGCAGATGACACAAAACTTTGTAAAGTAATAAAATGTGAGCAGTATATTGCTTTGCTGCAGAGGGATTTGGATAGATTGGGGGACTGGGCACTAAAATGGCAGATTAAATTTAACGTAGAGCAATGCAAAGTTATGCACTTCAGGGTTAAGAATGCACAAGCAATTTACACCCTAAATGGTAGTGAACTAGAGATAACCACACACAAGAAGGATTTGGGAATTGTTATAGACAAATTACGCAGCAATATGCAATGTCAAACTGCAGCTGCTAAGGCCAGTAAGGGTTTGTCATGTATAAATAGGGGCATAAATTATCGGGATGAAAATATAATTTTGCCTCTATAAATCGCTGGTAAGACCATACTTTAAATATGCTGTACAATTTTGGGCACCTGTTCTAAAGAAAGATATCATGGCACTAGAAAAAGTGCAGAGACGAGCTACAAAATTGATTGAAAAGAATGGTGCATATTAGTTATGAAGAAAGGTTAAAAAATTGAAATCTGTTTAGTTTGGAAAACTAAAACTGAGAGGGGATATTATAACATTATACAAATATATTCGGGGCCAGTACAAACCATTATCTGGAAATCTATTCATAAACAGGGCTATATATAGGACACGAGGTCACACATTTAGGCTGGAAGAAAGGAGATTTCATCTAAGGCAAGGGTTTTTTTGTTTTGCTTTTTTAACAGTAAGAGCAATAAGTTATATGTAATTTTCTACCTGAAGAGGTGGTTTTATTTATCAGAGTCCATACAGATGTTTAAACTGCAATTGGATAAATACTTGCAAAAAACATAACATACAGGGATATAATTTCTAATTAGTGGGGTAACAGACATCTGACTGCTATTTTGGGTTCAAGAAGGAACTTTTTTTCTTAGTTTATTGCAAAGTTGGAAGCACTTCAGACTAGGTTTTTTTTGCCTTCAACAGTAAAAACATATGTGAGGAAGGCTGAACTTGATGGACACAAGTCTCTTTTCAGTTATGTAACCTTACATCAAAGCGGGCTTACTATAGATACAGCTTTATCTGCGAATACATCACCGGTTATACCTGGCATTTCAATTATTTTTTTATTTTTGTGTATGAAAGAAACACACAGTCCTGCAATGCCCCAACAGCATCAGCGGGGATAGCTTTGTTAACCCCCTTAAGACCGGAGGGCGTACTATAACGCCCTATTCTAAGCGGCTCTAAACGCTGCCGGGCGTAATAGTACGCCCTCCGGTCTTTCGGTACTTACCCGGTCGCCGGCGATCGCGGTGGGGGGGGACTCCCAGGGAGCCCCCCGCGGCACGTCCGTCCGTCCTCGAAGACCCCCGGCCATGTGAGAGTGGGGTCCCCACAATCACATGGCCGGGGGTAGTTGCCTCCTGCATTGCCAGCAGGGGGGCTGCCTGTAATGACAGGTGGCCCCCCTGCTGGCTGAAAATCAAATTAAAATAAATAGTGTAAAAAAAAAAAAAATATATATATACTTAGATCATATATATATATATAAATATCAAATTACACGTAGACTGATACTGATTAAATATATATATAATTATTGTTATATATATATATATATTTATATATAATATAAAAAATAAAAATGTAAATACGTTAAAAAATAAAATTAAAAAATAATAAAAAAAATATATAGATGTGTTATTTCGTTCTAACTGTATTGTGAAATTAATATATAAATATATCAAAATACACATAGAACGAAATAATATATATATCTATATACATAAATATATACGTATATATCACTATATATACCTATATATAAATAAAAATATTTTTTAAAATTATATAGATATATACATATATATATATATATACACATATGTGTGTGTATATATATATATGTATATATATATATATATATATTCTACATATATATTTATGTAATATTTTTACATAATTAGGTATCTTAATTAATTACAATTAGCAGGACCTGCCTGACAACCCATGCCGAAAGTAAAGGGAATTTAATTTGCTAGCACTATATTTAACCCTATAACTTTCCGAGACACCATAAACCCTGTACATGGGGGGTACTGTTCTACTCGGGAGACTTCGCTGAACACAAATATTAGTGTTTCAAAACAGTAAAATGTATTACAACGATGATATCGCCAGTAAAAGTGACGGTTTTTGCATTTTTCACGCACAAACAGCATTACACGGACAATATTATTGCTGTGATACTTTTTACTGTTTTGAAACACAAATATTTGTGTTCAGCGAAGTCTCCCGAGTACAACAGTACCCCTCATGTACAGGTTTTATGTTGTTTTCAAAAGTTACAGCGTCAAATATAAGGCTTGTGTTTCAATTTTTTCACATTAAAATTAGCCAGATTGGTTACGTTGCCTTTGAGACCCTATGGTAGCCCAAGAATGAAAATTACCCCTATGATGGCATACCATTTGCAATAGTAGACAACCCAAGGTATTGCAAACAGGGTATGTCCAGTCTTTTTAGTAGCCACTTAGTCACAAACACTGGCCAAAATTGGCGTTTTTTGCATTTTTCACACACAAACAAATACTAACGCTAACTTTGGCCAGTGTTTGTGACCAAATGGCTACTAAAAAAGACTGGACATACCCCATTTGCAATACCTTGGGTTGTCTACTATTGCAAATGGTATGCCATTATGGGTGTAAATTTCATTCCCGGGCTACTATACAGTCTCAAAGGCAACGTAACCAATCTGGCGAATTTCAATTTCAAATGTAACGTGCTATATTTGACCCTGTAACTTCCCAAAATGCCATAAAATCTGTACATAGGGGGTACTGTCTTACACGTGAGACTTTACTGAATACAAATATGTGTATTTTTTTGCAGTAAAAGCAAACAGTATTATGACATTGACCGTTAAAATGTCATGTAGAACTAAAAAATTTTTTAAAAATCGTATTTTCTCCCATTTTTTTCATATTTAAATTGTTTCATAGCTAAATATTTGATATTAAATGAAAGCCCTGTTTCCCCTGAATAAAATGATACATAATAAGGGTGGGTGCATTTACTATGAAAGAGGTGAATTACGGTTGGACAGACATGTAGCGCAAATGCCAGGTTTTGTTTACATTTTGTTTTGTTCACAACGTGTACATTTGGCTCCGTCCTTAAGGGGTTAAAGATAATACATATGTAACAAGGGGGCATTATCTAGCAACAACATAACTTTGTCATGCATGTTTACATAATAATTGCTTAACCCCTTCCCGACCGTGTTCAGTTAAGGACCATTGCGGAATATTTCCGTCATTTACTAAAGTTAATCCCAGATCGCGGGGTTAACGGTGCTCCGGTCTGCCTCTGTATTAGAGGCAGACCAGGAGCACCCGATCGGGCTGCCCCAGCACTGGTGCTCGCTCTGACAGGTTGTCAGAGCCAGCACATGTGCTGGATATACTGACCTTCCGCCTCCCTGCACTTCCGGGTTCTGTGTGAAGGGCAGGGAGACGGATCAGTGCTGCTCTTCTCCCTGTGTAAAAAAAAATTAAAGTTAAATCCCACCTCGGGTTAAATTTATTTTATTAAATACTTAAAAATTATATATTTAGCTAGCTGGGATGGGTGGAAGTTAGTGGGGAATTGAGGAATTTGGTGGTAGGCTAACTAGGGGTTAACGTTAAAAGTTTTAAAATAAGCTTTAAAAAGGTAAAATAAAAGTTTTCAAAAAATGTTTTAGTAACCAAGAATAGCACACACCAACTTTACAAAATACACATGAGAAGTTCTTTGTTATAAGTTTGTGTGCCAAAAACCCCAAAAAACTAAATTTTACTCCAATATTTAGCAGAGATTGGCGGTGAAATGGCTACGTAGAAAGTGTCAAAACAACCTTAGGACAATAGCCTGTGATGTCTACTTTATTTAAATATATACTTATGTGTGGCAATTTTTTCTTCTATGGCTATTAAGCTTACAAGACAAAGATACCAAATTCTAAAATCGCTCCACATTAAAAATTTATTTTACTCCTTGTGCTTTGTGACCTGTAACTACCAAAAAAAAACTTAAAATCCCAGACACATTATATATTCTGTAAATCTGAACAACTAAATTAATTTATTTTTAACCTGCACTAATTAGGCACACATTATTGCAAAAACTGTACAAAAAACACAATTTATTTTTGCATTTTTCTTTTTTTAATAATAAATAAGCATTTATATATATTACATCAAATTAAAGCCCTTTCTGTCCTTTAAAAACAGTACATAATATGTCGGTGCAATAAACGAGAGGGATGCAAATTGCAGTTGAATGCATACAGCAAGAAAATGCAAAAATTTCTTGTCATTAAGCGTAAGACAAGCTTCTGAAGGGGTTAAAGGAGCACTATAGTGCCAGGAAAACAAACTAGTTTTCCTGGCTTTATGTAGTCCATAGGTCCCCCGTCCCGCTGGGCTGAAGGAATTTAAACCCATTAAGCCACTTGTCTTGCTCCAGCACCGTGCTCCCTCGGCGCTGGGGAACTCTACTCCTCCTGCCGACGTCAGCGTGATTTTCGCAGTGAGAAGCGCCTCTAGCGGCTATCAGTGAGACAGCCACTAGAGGCTGGATTAACCCTCAGTGAATTCTGAGACTGCTATGTTTACAGCTGCAGGGTTAAAACTAGAGGGACATGGCACCCAGACCACTTCATTGAGCTAAAGTGGTCTGGGTGCCTATAGTGGTCCTTTAAGATGAGAATGGTACTGTACTGTGATTTATTTATTGATTTAATCATATTACAGAGTCCGTTATATTTTTGTTCTGCAATTGATATACACGATTGTCGAGACCTCTTATCTTAAATGTATCAAGCCCTTACACTAACTTTTGTTGTGTGACTCTTCTGACCTCTCAGGAGGGTTGTGTGATGTAGTAGAGCCCCAAGTTAGGTTCAAGGCTGTTTTAGTGAGGAAGTCTATATAGTCCCGGGTACTATGGTCTCATCTATTTTAAGCCATTGGCTATTATCGGTAATTGAGTCGTGGGCTGTATCCCATCATTCACATTTATGCAGGAAAAGTTGTTCTACTAGATCTACCAGGCTGCCCTGATTCTTTGGGGACAAACCTCAAAACTGTATGGGATTTCCTCTCATTAATGAATAAGGGATATCACATATGGCTATGTAATTTTTTATACTAGCGCAGATTTATTTTAAAAAGGAATTTTACTTTGATATCCCAGCCTGCGGCACCATGTGGAAGAACCAGAAGTTGATAGTTGAAAAAAAAAAACACAAAGGCACACCGACTGGTTTGCTCTGTGATAAGGTACTGACCCTTGCGTACACAGCCAGAAAAGACTTGTACATGTTGTCCACACTTCATGATGAGAAAAAAAAGATATAATTACTATATAATGTACATAAAAGCATCCACAGGAAAGCAATACACTTTCCTGGCATACACCCTGAAACATTTTCCGATTTATTTTGCCAGCCCCTAATGCCTTCCTCAAACAATTAATTTCGGACACTCTGCTTGTGACTCTGTAATTCTGGATTCCTGGCCCTCCGCTTGCCATGCTTACTCTTTGTCACCTGTCTGAACAGACTTATTGGCTTGTTTTATCGATGAACTGATTTCTGAATTCCCTGACCTCGGCCTGTCCGTGTTTGTCACGCTCAGCCATTATAAAGTGGCTAGACCAAAACTCAAAATAGCCCATTTGGAATACCCTGGGATGCCTACTTTTAAATATATGCCATCATGTAGGTAATTTTCTTTCCTGAACTGCCATTCTGCCTAAATGGCAACAAAGGCTCTGAGAACCACTTTGTCAAATGTCCAAGATAAAAAGGGAATCTAATGTTTTTGGCCCTGTGAATTACCAATAAAACCTGGAAAGCCAGTACATGGAGACATTATTGCGCTAACAGTTAAAAGAACTATGAAATTTCATGTGAAAATGTAATTTGTGTGTGTGACAAAGCACAAATAAAAGTATAACTACTAAATAGGTTCTGCTTTTGTGATAAAGTGGCTAGAACAATCCTCTCAAAATGCCACTTTTGCAATACTCTGGGTTGCCTGCTTTTCAAAATGATATGCCATAATGGTGGAAATCTTATTACCTAGGCTGACGTACTCTCTGAAATGGGGACATAGGCCCAGAAAATCACTGTCAAATTACCAGGTATGAAGACTGAGACATTAAGATGAATGACAACACAAATATAATAAGATGCATGGTATTTCAGTGTCCTTTGTATTTTCAAGAGATTGCAGCTCATTTTTAACCAGGTGTTTAGAGCAAGTATCATAGACATACAATTGCTAACTATATCAGATACAAGAAAGCACCAAATTTGTCATATTCTTAAAGGACCACTCTAGGCACCCAGACCACTTCAGCTTAATGAAGTGGTCTTGGTGCCTGGTCCAGCTAGGGTTAACCCATTTTTTTTATTTTTATAAACATAGCAGTTTCAAGGGAAACTGCTAAGTTTATAAATAGGTTAATCCAGCCTCTAAAGCTTCTAGGGGCTGTCTTATTGACAGCCGCTAGAGGCGTTTGCATGCTTCTCACTGTGAAAATCACAGTGAGAAGACGCCAGCGTCCATAGGAAAGCATTATGAATGCTTTCGTATGAGACTGGCTGCGCACGCAGCTCCTGCCACGCATGCGCAGTCAGCCGGAGAGGAGGAGGAGAGCTCCCCACCCATGTGGCCAGGGAGGGTGAGACATTGCTTTCCATCCCAGGAGGTCCCAGTGGTGAGAGTGAACACTAGCCTGCAGCTGGTGACGCTAGAGTTCTCTCACAAGGGCAGGGCATTGCCATGGATTGCAATAACCCTTTTAAATGATTGTAGAATGTGTGCATTGAGGGTTCATACCATCTTACTGATTAGATTTATCCATCCAGCGTAAATGGAATGCTCCCTATAGTTCTGAATGCATTATGTAGAGAAACATTTTGGCAAAAATACTGCTTAGTGGATCTTCCTGCAAGTGCAGGCAGGCACTAGGAATTAGTCTTTCCAATTAAGGAGTTGATTTTATAGGATAATGACCTGTCCAACAGATTATGGGATGGGTATCTAATATCCAAACAGCAGTTCTGATCATCAGATTGGCTAGTTGGAACTTTAATTGATGAGACTTACCCTGTCTGTTACCATTGTATACATGTTTTTATTGAAACTCCCTGCATTTTGTCAGCTGAGCCACAAATCACAAATGCACCCCATCTCTCTAGACATTAAATGTTCTGGACTGTCCTCAGGGATCTGTACTTGGACCCATTCTCTTTAATATTTTTATTAGTGATATTGCAGATATTGTCTTTTTGCTGATGATTCTAAAATTTGCAACAGGGTTGATGTTCCAGGAGGGATAAGTAAAAAAAAAAAAAAAAATTTCAGATGACTTACAGGTAGGCAGACAATGTAATAGAGCAGCAGGAAATGCTAGCAGAATGCTTGGTTGTATAGGGAGAGGTATTAGCAGTAGAAAGAGAAGTGGCCATTGTACAGAACACTGGTGAGACCTCACGTGGAGTATTGTATGCAGTACTGGAGACCGTATCTTCAGAACGATATTGATACTTTAGAGAGAGTTCAGAGAAGAGCTGCTAAACTGGTTCATGTATTGCAGGATAAAACTTACAAGGAAACGTTAAAGGAATTTAACATGTATAGCTTGGAGGAAAGACGAGACGGGGGGATATGATAGAAACATTTAAATACATAAAGGGAATCAACACAGTAAAGGAGGAGACCATATTTCATGTAGGAAAGCATTGGATTGGATGAGATTATCAATAATCCAGGTCAGAGGTAGAGGCAAACACTGCTCTGGCCAATCAGCATCTTCTCATAGAGATGCAATTAATCAATGCATCTCTATAGGAAAGTGCAGTGTCTGCATGCAGAAGGTGGAGACACTGAATGAATGGCAGCGCTGCACACAGTAGCCATCTGAGGAGTGGCCAGTAGAGGGGTCCCTAAGCTGTAACATAAACACTGCATTTTCTCTGACAAGACAGTGTTTACTGCAAATGCATGAAGGAACTGATTATACTCTGCAAAACACATTATGTACATACCTACAAATCATGGAACTTCTGTAACATAACCACAGAGACATTAGTACAACAAGGCATCTATAATAGTTATATTTCAGAAGTAATCTATCCTTGCACCCCTTTCTCCTTTTGGTATAACTACCGTATTTTTCGCTCCATAAGACGCACCACACCATAAGACGCACCTAGTTTTTAGAGGAGGAAACCCAGAAAAAAAAATATTCTGAACAAACTGTCCCATAGTGTTTCTTACTATGGGACAGTTTGTTCAGAATATTATTTTTTCTCCCCTGTCCCATAGTGTTCCTTACCACCCACTCCACTCCCCTGTCCCATGATCTTTAACCCCCCTTCCCCTGTCCCATAGTGATTTTTAACCCCCCTTTCCCCTGTCCCATAGTGATTTTTAACCCCTCCTCCCCTGTACCATAGTGATTTTTAACCCCTCCTCCTCTGTACCATAGTGATTTTTAACCCCTCCTCCCCCTGTCCCATAGTGATTTTTAACCCCTCCTCCCCTGTCCCATAGTGTTCTCCCACCACTGAGTGCGCACTTCCTTTCAGTCCGACCAGAACCTGAAATTTAAGTTCCTGTACCGCGGTGCGTGCTGTTCTGCCAGCCCACGCCACAATACAGGTAAGTAAAGCTTCACATTCGCTCCATAAGACGCACAGACATTTCCCCTCACTTTGGAGGGGAAAACAGTGCGTCTTATGGAGTGAAAAATACGGTATACCAATCAAAACTTTAAATGGCTCCCTACAACCATAGACCAAGGATTCTTGCTATATTCAGGACTTCCAGGAATGTGATGCATAGAAAGAAAAACAATAAGTATTGAAGCAAATTATTCAGTTTATTCCCTTTATCAAAATGTCAGTGGTAGTATGCAATATAATAAAATACTATAATTTATGGTATAAAAACTCAAATTAATGTTTTGATTTCCAAACTGAATAAGCCTTGTGAATAGGGCCGGTGCAAGGAGTTTTGCCGCCCAGTGTTTTTTTTTTTTTTTTTCTGAAAAGGCAGCTTGTTTACATTAAAAAGACTGTAGGGACAGGTTATAGACACCAGAACCACTACATTAAGCTGTAGTTGTTCTGGTGACTATAGTGTCCCTTTAAGCACCGCTGTGCCCATGACCAGTTATTTAACTAGACTAAAATATTTTACATAATTGATAATTGTTAAAATCCACTGCTTAATTTCCTTAACCACCCACCTTATATTTCCTGTTGGAAAATACAATAAACCTCAAATTGAAATAAAAAATCCACTGCATTGCGGTAAATGTTTATTGGCTAGTTTTATTTTCCCTAAATTACAGCAACTTTTTTATTTTTTATTTTTATTCTTGATTTTAATTTGGAATTTTTAATTTTATGTTTTGCTTCCATTGTCTTTTTAGATATGTAATCTACACATTTTAATTTTTCCAGAATTTGTCAGACCTTTTACTACATGCTATTTTAAAGACACTGAAGGCTGAGAAGGCTTCTTTAGACGGCAAATATCTTCAAGCTTTTTGCAGAGTTTATGTTGGATTATGCCGTCAGCTTGGTGATCTGGAAAAGGCCCGTGTCCTGTGTTACAGCATACTTAAAGAAGGTAAGTGTTTGCTAGCGCATTAAATTTTTACACATTTCGTTTGACTTTTGATATGTTTACTTCATACTTGGTGAAGAGAAACAGACAAATGATCAGTGTACCAAATTAGATCCTGGGAACTTCATGATTGAATGACATCTAAAAACAATCTGTGCACTTTTAATAAATAACGAATAACTATATAGCTAATGCATTAACGACTTAAAGTGGACATGTCATTTAAGTTCTGGCTATTGTCAAGGTCAGCTTGACTGGAACATATAAGGTAAAGTAGTCCCTGCTTTTCTTTGTGTTTTATAAAAACTAGAGTGATCAGGGAAAAAAAAACGATACTCTGATACGGAGCTACGTAGAAGCAGATTAAAGTAATTCTATTTTTGGTGACGGTTCTACTTTAAGGATCTCACATGGTAGGCACCATAACCACACAACAAAAATGGTTATGGTGCCTGGAGTCATTGGATACCACATCACTGATGAAAGGTTTGCTAACCATTTAGCAGAGATGCTTGGTGCCTTCAATGACCATATGCTTTTGTCTTGCGCATTACCAATTCATACCAGATATTAGGGAAGCTGACACTCTAGGCCTATCAGGCACAGCAACACCTGTTATGGTGTGAAGCAGAAGATAGCTTCTGCCATTTCATTATTGGAGACCTGGGCTGCTCTCTACTGCATTCTACTAAACGGTGATTTAACCATTTAGTAGAATACAAAACCTGGGTGCCCAATGACTCTAGGCACTAATTATTTTTTTGAAGAGGGTGTGATGCCAAGACTGTCCCTTTTAAGGATCACAATCCAGTTCATAAAGACACTGTGCTAGTATGTAACAGCTCTGCACAGCGCTGATCCATTAGCAAATGTAGCTGCTCCACCCCCCCAACCCCCACCCTGCACAGTTGAAAAAATAAAAATAATTGTGCCAGTATGTGTCTGTGTGTCAAGGTGTGTATCTGTGTTGTATGTGCCGGTGTGTATCTGTGTGTATGTATCTTCATACAGACTGACACATAGTGGCACACAGATACACACACCGTGTGTATCTGTGTATGTGTGTATGTATCTGTGAGTGTGCCAGTGTGTGTATCAGATATACACACTGGCACATACAAACGCAGATACACACACCCAGATACACACACTTTGACACCCAGATACACACAAGGTCTATGTATCAAGGTGTGTATCTGTGTTTGTATGTGCCAGTGTGTATGAATCTGACACACAGATGCACACTGTGTGTCAAGGTGTGTATCTGTGTGCCAGTGTGTGTATCAGACACACGTTTGCACATACGCACGCACATATACTGACAGTGTATATCTGTGTCCGTGTGTGTGTGTGTGTGTGTGTGTGTGTGTCAAGGTGTGTATCTGTGTTTGTATGTGCATCTGAGAGACACACACACAGATGCACACTGACAAAGATACACACAGTATGTATCTTTGTGTCAAGGTGTGTGTATCTGTGTTTGATACACAGACGCATACAATGTGTGTATATTTGTGTTTGTATGTGCCAGTGTGTGTGAATCTGACGCACATGTACACACACACACACACACACACACACACATTGACACAGATACACCTTGACACACAGATACATATTGTGTGTATTTGTGTTTGTATGTGCCAGTGTGTGTGAATCTGACACACACACACTGGCACAGATCCACACACCTTGACAGTGTGTATCTGTGTGTTAAGGTGTAAGTATCTGTGTTTGTATGTGCCGGTGTGTGTGTGTATCTGTGTTTGTATGTGCCTGTGTGTGTGTGTGTGTGTGTGTATCAGTGTTTGTATGTGCCGGTGTGTGTTTGTGTGTTGTCTGTGTGTGTGTCTGTCTGTCTGTCTGTCTGGGTGTGTCTGTCTGTGTCTGTCTGTGTGTGTCTGTCTGTGTGTGTGTCTGTCTGTCTGTCTGTCTGGGTGTGTCTGTCTGTCTGTCTGTCTGGGTGTGTCTGTCTGTCTGTCTGGGTGTGTCTGTCTGTCTGTCTGGGTGTGTCTGTCTGTCTGTCTGGGTGTGTCTGTCTGTCTGTCTGGGTGTGTCTGTCTGTCTGTCTGTCTGTCTGGGTGTGTCTGTCTGTCTGTCTGTCTGGGTGTGTCTGTCTGTCTGTCTGTCTGGGTGTGTCTGTCTGTCTGTCTGTCTGGGTGTGTCTGTCTGTCTGTCTGGGTCTGTCTGTCTGTCTGTCTGGGTCTGCCTGTCTGTCTGGGTGTGTATCTGCGTGTGTATGTGTCTGTGTGTGTGTATCTGTGTTTGTATGTGCCGTGTGTGTGTATCTGTGTTTGTATGTGCCGTGTGTGTATGTGCCGGTGTGTGTGTGTGTGTGTGTGTCTGTTTGTATGTGCCGGTGTGTATCTGACACACAGATACACACAGGCAATCGCTCAGATACACATACACACACTCTTGCACCAACAGATACACACAGTGTCGTACACACACTCGTATGGGCACATACAAACACACTGATATACACTGACACCACACACTCAGATACACACAGTGACGTAAACAAACCTTGACACACAGATACACACTGAGGCACATATTCTTTGACACACAGATACTCTCACTGACACATACTGACAAGTACATATACACTCTGACAGACATACAAACACACTGACACACACACATACAATTTATAATTTTTTTTTTAACTTTACTCCACCCAGCCTACCTACCTTTGGGAGTGCTGGCATGGAGTTTCTATGTCCCGTGGGGCTGCTGGGCTGAGTGTGGGGTCCAGTGGGGCTGCTGAGCGGCTGGCGTGCGGTCCCAGGGGTCCTGTGGGGCTCTAAGTGATGCCGGAGTAACGTCGTATTCTGGCTACGGCATCACTGCTGTGCGCGCAAATGAGGTGAGCAGGGAGATCACTGCTCCCTTGCCGCCCATGGCAATTTTGTTTCCAGAAATTTTGGCGGAACCCCAATTGGGAAACGCTGCTCTAGAGTCATAGACTAGGCATGTGTGCTGCATTAGACAAGGTTCTTAATAGAGACGAATATCCAAGTGTGGGCGGCATAGAACATCCCCGCCATCCTTCATACTTACTGGTTTCCTGCCGATCCTACTCTGGTAGTCGCGATCCTGGGGTCTACCTGGGAGCTCAGACAGACCCCCTCTGCCCGGTGTGTGTGTGTGTGTGTATATATTTACATTTATATGATATTTTTGCATAATTAAGTCTTTTTATTAATTACAATCTGAGGTACCTGCCCGACAACCCAGGCAGAAAGCCCAGAGAATTCGTCTCGTAAGCCCTATATTTAACCCTGTAACTTTCCAGGGCACCATAAAACCTGTACATGTGGGGGGTACTATTCTACTCAGGAGACTTCACTGAACACAAATATTAGTGTTTAAAAACAGTAAAACATATAACAACGATGATATGGTCAGTAAAAATGCATTTGTTTGCATTTTTCACACACAAACTGTACTTTCACTGATGATATAATTGTTGTGATATGTTTTACTATTTTAAAACTCTAATATTTGTCTTCAGCTAAGTCTCCTGAGTATAACAGTACCCCCCATGTACAGGTTTTATGGTGTTTTCAAAAGTTAGTCAAATATAAGGCTTGAATTTCCTTTTTTTGAAATTTGCCAGATTGGTTATGTTGCCTTTGAGACTGTATGATAGCCCATGAATGAGAATTACCCCCATGATGCATACCATTTGCAGAAGTAGACAACCCAAGGTATTGCAAATGGGGTATGTCCAGTCTTTTTTAGTAGCCACTAGTAGTCACAAACACTGGGCAAAATTAGCGTTCAATTTACCGTATTTTCCGGTGTATAAGAGGACTTTTTAACCCAGGAAAATCTTTCAAAAGTCGGGTGTCGTCTTATAGGGCGGGCCTAGGCAGCTGCTTAGGGCGCTATATAGGAGAGGGCGCAATATAGGAGAGGGCGCACTGAGCCCCCATCGCCGGCCCTTATAATGTTGCAGCCGCCTGAGTGCTCTATAGAGAGCCTCAGACGGCTGCAGGACTGCCTCTCTCCTCACCTCCCCTGTAGCGTGGTCGAGCTCCTTTCTGGTCCGTGGTGCCCAGCTGGATTGACTGGAAGTGCACACTAAGTGTGCACTTCCTGTCAGTCCAGTCAGGTACAGGAAACAAAAGCTCCTGTACCGCGGACTGGAGAGGAGCTCGGCCACTCTACAGGGGAGGTGAGGAGAACAAATGGGGGAATAAGGAGACTTCAGGGGGGGGGGGAAGGAGAATACAGGGGGGATAAGGAGAATGGAAGGTGTGGTGTGTTTTTTTTTGGGGTGTGCGTTGGAAGAGGGGTAGTAGTCTTATACGGTGAGTATATCCCAAACACTATATTTTAACTGGAAAAGTTGGAGGTCGTCTTATACGCCGGAAAATACGGTAGTTTTTTGCATTTTTCATGCAACAAATATGGCAGCTAACTTTGGCCAGTGTTTGTGACTAAACTAAGTTGATACTAAAAAAGACTGGACATATAACCTATTTGTAATACCTTGGGTTGTCTACTTTTGCAAATGGTCGTCATGGGGTTAATTTTTATTCATAGGCTACCATTTGGTCTCAAAGGCAACATAACCAGTTTGGCAAATTTCAGTGTGTATAAACTGAAAAATGTAATGTGCTATATTTGACCCTGTGACTTTCCAAAACCCCATAAAACCTGTACATTGGGGGTACTGTTTTACCCGTGAGACATCGCTGAATACAAATGTGTACTTTATTGCAGTAACACCTAACAGTATTGTGACATTCACAGTTAAAATGCCATGCAAAACAAAAAAAGTCTTAATTTCTCAATTTTTTTAAATATTTTATTTATATTAAATTATGTTTACTCTAAAAATATTTGTGACATGAAAGCCCTGTTTCTCCTGAAAAAAAATTATTTATTAGTGTGGGTGCACATAATATGAAAGAGGTGAATTACACCTGAACAGACATATCGCGAAAATTCAAGGTTTTGTTTGTTTTCTTTTGATTACAACTGCCGCAGTCCTTAAAAGGTTAATCATCCGTGCTGTATAGATCATGTACCTGCATCCTCACTGCTCAATTGTTTGCCTAATTAGGAGTAAAAATAACTTTGTTTATGCAAACCAAGTGACACCTTCACTGGCTTTGACTCAAACAGCCTTCATAATGTTTTATTTTCAATCAAATCCTGTTGCACAGTGTGTTTATTTTAGATGATCCCATCTTCTATTCTGTTAACTGAACTTTAGTCACATACAGGATACTGCTGCAGGCTCTAGCAGGTAATTAACAGAGCTTGAGATAAAATAATCTGTACATCAAAACCCCTTCAAGCTAAAATTGTTAACATGCTTAGTGTCCCTTAAATATTGAACTTCTAAATAACAGATTCACTTTTATGAATTTGTACATTTGTCTGAAAGCGCATGCAGGTTCTATGCAGTGCTGAACACATACACTTTAGCTCATTACATGTTGGAAGTAATGCTAGATCTAAAAAATAAACTAGAAAAATGTAATCAATGATTGTCATTCAAGCAAAACAAGACTGCATGGTAATTTTTCCAGACCTCAGTGTTGATCGGTTAAATGCTTGTTATAAACAATTAAATTGTTCTAACATCTCAAAAAAATTTTATCTAGATTTTCAAGAGCCAGAAAAATTGCTCCTGTTTATTATAAGTACATGGAATGATATGTTTTCTTTACCTGGAATAATCAATAAAGCTGTGCAGGCACTTCTTAAACAACTGGCAAAAGACGAAGTTTTGATTTGTCTTAGTGCTTACCTAAACTGGGAAAAGGTGAGTACTTCCAATATTCAGATTCCATGCATTTGGTCATTGTTGACTTTTTGGCCCATCAAGTGTGCTTATGTTAAATCTTTGATAAAGCGTTTTTTTATTGGTCTTTGTTATATTTGTGAACTCCTATAGCCTTTGCTATGTATTTTAATTTGTTTAGTATTTGAGCCACGACTAGACTGTACATTGTATAAAAATGTTTCATCCTTTATTATTTTATTATTTACAGGTGATACTCGAAAAATTAGAATATTGTGCAAAAGTTAATTTATTTCAGTAATGCAAGGTAAAAGGGGAAACTAATATATGAGATAGACGCATTACATGCAAAGCAAGTTAATTCAAGCCGTGATTTGTCATAAGTGCGATTATTATGGCTTACAGCTCATGAAAACCCCAAATCCACAATCTCAGTAAATTTGAATATTACATGCTATCAATAAAGCAAGCAGTGTACATAGAACAATATCGGACCTCCGAAAAGTATAAGCATGCATATGGACTCAGTACTTGGTTTGGGTCCTTTTTGCAGCAATTACTGCCTCAGTGCGGCGTGGCATGGAAGCGATTAACCTTTGGCACTGCTGAAGTGTTATGGAAGACCAGGATGCTTCAATAGCAGCCCTCAGCTCTTCTGCATTGTTCAGTTTCATGTCTCTCATCTTTCTCTTGGCATTGCCCCATAGATGCTCTATGGGGTTCAGGTCAGGGGAGTTTGCTGGCCAATCAAGCACAGTAATCCCACGGTCATTGAACCAGGCTTTGGTGCTTTTGGCAGTGTGGGCAAGTGCCAAGTCCTGCTGGAAAATGAAGTCTGCTGCCCAAATCCCCAAATCAACACAGACTGTGGAAACTTCACACTGGACTTCAAGCATCTTGCAGTGTGTGCCTCTCCATTCTTCCTCCAGACTCTGGGTCTTTGGTTTCCAAATCAGATGCAAAAGTTGCTCTCATCAGAAAAGGGGACTTTGGACCACTGAGCAACAGAACAGGTCTGTTTTTCTTTAGCCCAGGTAAGATGCTTCTGACGTTTTGTTGTTCAGGAGTGGCTTGACAAGAGGAATAAGACATCTGAAAGCGCATGTCCAGGATCAGTCTGTGTGTGGTGGCTCTTGATGCACTGACTCCAGCCTCAGTCCACTCCTTGTGAAAGTCCCCAACACTTTTGAATGGCCTTTTCCTGACAATCCTCTCCAGGCTGCGGTCATCCCTGCTACTTATGCACCTTTTTCTTCCACACTTTTCCTTTCCACATAACTTTCTATTAATGTGCTTTGATACAGCACTTTGGGAACATCCAACTTCATTCGCAATTACCTTTTGAGACTTTCCCTCTTTATGGAGGGTGTCAGTGATGGTTTTCTGCACAACTGTCAGGTCTTCGCCATGATTGTGATTCCTACTGAACCAGACTGAGACCATTTAACCCCTTGACGAGTGACGGACAAGGTCCGTCACTCAGGGGATTGCCATAGCAACAAGTGACGGACCTCGTCCATCACCCGTTAAAATTAACCCTGGATCGCTGCTATTGCAGCGATCGCGAGGTTAATGGTGCTCCGGTCTGCCTCTGTATTAGAGGCAGACTGGGAGTACCCGATAGTGCTGCCCCAGCACATGTGCTCAGTATACTTACCTTCTGCCTCCCTGCACTTCCTGGTTCTGTGTGAAGTGCAGGGAGCCGGAACAGCGATGACTCTGCCCCCTGTTAAAAAATAAAAATAGTTTATTTAAAATCCCACACCCCTTAACTTTTTACCCAGTCCAAATAAAAATTAACCCCTTCCCTGCCAGTCGATCACTGCCTACAGTGATTAAAATACAGATTACAGTATTATACTGTGGTCTAATTTTTTTTAACCCCTGAGGATTAATTTTTATTTATTTTTTAACCCTCAGGGGTTCAATTTAATTAATTAAAATATTTTATAATTATATATTTTGCTAGCTGGGGTGGGTGGGAGTTATGAGAAAATGGGGAATTTACTGATAGTGCTGCTTACTGCTAGTAAGGGGTTAACGGTAAAAAAAAAAGCTTAGAAAAATGTTAAATCTGTAAAAAAAAAAAAAAAAAAAGTTTTAAGAAACAAAAAATTAATAAGCAAAACAAAAGTTTAAAAACTAGTTTTCAAAAGTAAAAAAAGTTTAAAGTTAAAAAACAAAAAAAATACATTTAAAAACGCTCATTACCACTACACCTGGAACAAACTAGAGAAAAAAATGATCCCACGCCAAGGTTCAAAATATGCCTTTTGAATTACCCCAGGGTGTATTCTTTAATAAATAGTATGTGTTTGTGGGAAGTTTCAATAACCATCTAAACTACTCCAAATTGGAACATAGACACAGCGTAAAACTTCAAAGTTAGAAAAAAACTAGCTGCATCTCAAATGCGCCCCTTCAATATCCACATATACCTGGCAAAGGTACATACGGGGGTATTGCTGTACTCAGACATAGCTGAGCAACATATGAAGTATTATACAGTCGTAGCACACATAAGGTTTGCAAAATATACTGTGCAAACTCACTTTGTGTGTCAAAAAGGCAGAAAAAACACTTATTACCACTACACTTTGTACAAGTTAGTGGAAATATGATCCCACACTAAGGTTCAAAATATGCCTTTTGAAATACCCTGGGGTGTCTACTTTAAGAAATGGTAGGCCTTTGTGGGGTAGTTTGAATTTAAACCCTGCTAAGATGCTTGGAAATTGCACATACGCCCAGCGTCAAAATTCAAAGTTCGGTAAAAACTGATATGGCTTGGTCTCCTATATGGCACTGTAGCTTCACGAAATAGTGCCAATGACATTCATTGGGGGTGTCTTTTTACTCAGAAGACTTAGCCGAGCATAATTTGGGGGGTTTGAACTTAGTGGAACATGTGAAATATACAAAATGCCCAGCTAAAATGCAATCCATATGTAAAAAACGCACAAAATTATTTCACATACTTTAGCATATATTGGTGAAAAAATGGGGGCATGTTAAGGCACAATATGCACCTTATGAGATACCCTGGAGTGTCTACTTTTACAAATGGTATGCCTTCGTGGTTTTTTTTTTTTGGTTTTTTTTTTGAACAGTTAAACTGGTATACCCCAAATGGAAGCATAGGCTCATTAAATCCGTCTCTCAAAATTTTACTGTGAATACTGAAAAGGACAGGTCTCCTATATGGCACTGTAACTTCATGAAATAGTGCCAAAGACATACAACGGGGGTGTCATTTTACTCAGCAGATGTAACTGAACACAAAATAAAACTTTGTACATGAATAGCACACACCAACATTACAAAATACACATGATAATTTCTTTGTTATAAGTTTGTGTGCCAAAAAACAAAAAAAAACACACTTTTACTCCTATATTTAGCAGAGGTTGGCGGTGAAATGGCTACATAGAAAGTGTCAAAACAACCCTAGGTAAATAGCCTGTGATGTCTACTTTATTTAAATATATACTTTTGTGTGGCAATTTTGTTTGTTTTTTATGGCTATTAAGCTTACAAGACAAACATACCAAATTCTAAAATTGCTCCACATTAAAAGTTTATTTAAAATCCCAGACACATTATATATTCTGTAAATCAGAACTAAATGAATTTATTTTTAATTACTTTGCTTAACCTGCACTAATTATGCACACATTATTGCAAAAACTGTAAAAAAAAAAAAAACACTAAAATCTTAATTTTTTTGCTTTTTTCTGTATTTTTTTTTTTATAATAAGCATTCATATGTGTGTGTGTTACATCAAATTAAAGCCCTTTCTGTCCTTTAAAAAAACGATATATAATATGTGTCTATGCAATAAGTTAGTAAAATGCAAATTGCAGTTGAACGCAAAAAATGAAAAAAATGCTGTTGTCATTAAGTGAAAGACAAGCTTCTGAAGCTCTGTCCTTAAGGGGTTAGAGGCTCAGAAAACCTTTGCAGGTGTTATGGCTCACTTAGCTGATTAGGATGGGACACTGTGAGCCTAGAATATTGCACCTTTTCAAAATCTAATTTACTGAGATTGTGGATTTGGGGTTTTCATGCGCTGTAAGCCATAATCATCGCACTTATGACAAATCACGGCTTGAACTATCTTGTTTTGCATGTAATGCGTCTATCTCATATATTAGTTTCCCCTTTTACCTTGCATTACTGAAATAAATTAACTTTTGCACGATATTCTAATTTTTCTAGTATCACCTGTATATAGTGCCAGCAAATTCCATAGCGCTGTACAACAGGTGGACTAACAGACATGTAACTTTAAAGGACCACTATAGTGCCAGGAAAACATACTCGTTTTCCTGGCACTATAGTGCCCTGAGGGTGCCCCCACCCCTTTATGGTCCCCCTCCCGCCGGGCTCTGGGGAGAGGAAAGGGGTTAAAACTTACCTTTCTCCAGCGCCGGGCGGGGAGCTCTCCGCCTCCTCTCTTCCTCCTCTCCTCTCTTTCGGCTGAGCATTCAGCCGGTCTCATAGGAAAGCATTTACAATGCTTTCCTATGGACGCTTGCGTGTTCTCACTGTGATTTTCACAGTGAGAATCACGCAAGCGCCTCTAGCGGCTGTCAATGAGACAGCCACTAGAGGATTTGAGGGCTGGATTAACCCATTTATAAACATAGTTTCTCTGAAACTGCTATATTTATAAAAAAAAAAAAAATGGGTTAACCCTAGCTGGACCTGGCACCCAGACCACTTCATTAAGCTGAAGTGGTCTGGGTGCCTAGAGTGGTCCTTTAACCAGACAAATGGATGCACAAGAACAGAGGGGTTGAGAGCCCTGCTCAATGAGCTTACATGTTAGAGGGAGTGGGGTAAAGTGACAAAAAAGGGTATAAGTAGGGGTAAAGAAATAGGTTGTTAGAAAAGTATTCACTGCTCCAGTAGATAATAGCTGTCTTGCAAAAGTCTCCTCCTCTTACTTTATCCATAATTCGTCTCAAAGAAACCCAACCATTCTCAATCCTGTGTGCTCTCACAAATGTAAACCATACACACAGCACTGTTTTGTTTTTTTTTATTTTTTTTTATTCTTTTAAATAGAGATTAAAATTAAGCAGGATTTTTCCAGATCCGCTATTTTGGTTAATTTTTGCCATTTATATTTTTATTTGGTACAATTGGTAGATTAGCAGACTGTCAAACACTCGCAGCTCTATGTTCAAAGTCAGGATGATGAGGTAGTACAGAGTCTCAGAAGTTCTTTGTTCTTCATTATCATCTGGCCTGATTCACACAGTCACGAAGTCCAATTTAGATTATTATTTTTTTTTGTGGAGATTAACTTCTACTAAAGCCTCCAAATCGGGTGATATTGTTATAAGTAGATTAGAAGACTCCCCTGAAGAATCCGTTGGATTTAGACTGACCTTCACTGTCCCATCTTATAAAACACACCTATAGAAGTAAAAAAAAAAAAAATAAGATTCCATGACAGAGGTGTTTACAAGTACTTCTAAATACCTATTGTATAGTGGTAACAAAAACTGCAAAAGAGGAAAAAACTGATCTCGTATGGATTTATTTAATAACAAATTGACTAGAAAGGTAAAATTGTACTCCCTAAACAAGTATAGTAGAGCGTGTCCCCATCTGTCAGTGGTAACTAGGGCACAACTTAACATGATAAAATCTACCACTGAATTTATCCACGTTTCCTTTGGTAGAGGGCAATAGCATACGTAGAAAGAATGGCCACAATAGTGTGATCTTGAACATACACCTAGCAAATATGTCAACATATATATTCAAAAATATGTAAATAAAAAACATATCGTAATAAGTCAAAGGCACAGACTCTCCCGGCAAAACCATAGGTGTTCAGCACCCATCTATTTTTCGCGGATGTCAGCCCTAAGCAAAGAAGTACAAACAAGAACAAATCTAAAACACACTGCAATAATTCCTACACATTTCACCTCCATGTACAGACTTTAAACTAACAGTCAACTCTAAAGTCTGCAGATGAAGCACATAGGATTTAATTGCAGTGTGTTTTGTTTGGTTTTTATTTGTACTTTACAAACACTCTGTACATGCACAAGCTGTAATTTCCCAATTTTGTCAGGAGATGCTAAATAAGGATATTAATCTAGCCCTGTAAACCAAAAACTGGGTGGGGGATTTGCAGAATGTGCTGGATGGATGCTTTCGGACTATAATAGGTCTAAAGAAATCCTACCTTGGTATTCGTGTCAGCCACTAAAGCTTTCACAAAGCCTGGTTTCTTGAGTTTTAAAGCCATTTTCATGAGTTTTGTCCTTATTGATATATACAGATAGAAACTAAAATGACAGCTTGCAGCATGTGGCCCTATATGATTTATTCCTATGTCTTAAATTTAATTTATTAATTTCCAGGTTACTTCAATTACATAAAGTTGAATAGCCTAATGTTGGCATAATTGGGTATGGTTCTGTACACATAACTAAAGTGAACAAATTGGAAGTTGATTTACTTGCCCAGCACCAGTTCTGCCAGTTTGTGTTTTCCAAGAAAGTGTCTGGCAAAGTGAGAGGAATTTTATGATTTGTTCTAAATAAAATATTATTCTGTTAGAAGCAATGACCCTTGCACATCTGTCTTACGTAATTCAGATTGATTTATCGCTGACAGATGTGCTTTTTCAAATATCTTAATATTGCACTGGGCCTACTAATTATGGTTTCATGTCCTGCAACAGCATGGAGACTTTGTATTATACAGATTTGAAACACAATGGATTGTTTGACAGGAGGGACACTTCAATAATAAGATATTTCTATAATGGATAATTATATTCTATTTTCAGAATCCTCCCATGCCTGTGGCAACTATTTTGTCCAGTGTTCTGATGGCTATACAACTTTGTCCTGATGTCAAATTTCAAGCAAGCAAGGAATTTGGAGAAGATCTGACTGAACCCATCTGGGAGTATGTGTTTGCCGTAGATCTGTTGTGCTGTCACCGTAAATGGATGTGGACACATGATCAAGTTATACGGTAATGTTGCTTACTTCTTGATATTACTGGGATGATTTATTTATATTGTCCAAAGATCAAATAGTTAGAATTTTTGCCATTTTATTACTCAGTCCTAATAATTGTTGTGCAATGAACGCTAGCATGTTTTTCACAATGACATGACACCATGACATTTTCCAACTTGAAAGAAATTGTGCTATTGGTTTATCTGCCCCCTCCCCCCAAAATCACATTTGCTATGACTTATCTAGAGCAAAGGTAAAGGGACAAAAAGTCTTGTTTCAAGAAATGGTAGAAAGAAAATGCACAAGATATCAAAAAGTTGTGGAAAATATCCTGAGAAAAGAAGCTCTTACTCAGCACATCTGGTGTTGGGGATGGTGGATTCATTTTGAAAACAATCTAACGCTTAAACTGTTAAAACATGAATTTTTTTATTTTTTTTGTGATGCCTCATTGGAAAGCCTATGGTTTGCTTCTAGACCTCTGACTTTATCAACGGTGGCTTACAAAGCAGTGTAGTTAAATTCATGGTCAACGGATTCAGCTTTTAAGAGTTCTGTGTAAACTCCCATTTGAAGATTCATTCCAGGCAAAGCTCTGGAATAACTTATCAAGCAGATGGATGAAGGCTAATAACATTGTTTTAAAAAAAAAAAAAAAACTGACCGGAAAAGAAAAATGACAAATGGAAAAAAAATTCTTCTTTTCGAAAGGATGCAGATAACCAGGTGTATGGTTTATAAAATGCTCTTCAACAGAATATCTTGAAAATCATCTAGAAGTCTTTATTGTAATCTTAGAATACAGTTGATTCTAAACTGGGAGGCGGGGTGTGGGGTAGAGAATCATTTTTATCACCCACAAAAAACTTCTAGGTAATCTAATAAACACAGATTTCATGAAGGGTTTTTTGTTTTTTGGTTTTCTCCCAGCAACAAGTATTAGGCTCCAGTCTGCAATTTTTTTTTTCTGTGACATTTCTTGGCTACATGGCAGCATAGTGGGCAAAAGCTCATTTAAGACCCCTTCCGGCACACATTTTAAAACTGTGGAACAGGCATATTCCAGAATATTAATTCCATAAAATAGTCACTCATGTAGTGTATCAAATCTCTGTTTTTGGTCCTAGGCAATTTTTATTTTATTTATTTATTGCAAATTCTCAGCAAACCATAATTATGATGAACAAGATACTGCTTAGGGGATATGGAACAGATAAGTAACATTCAACCTTCAGTAGTGAAGTGCGTTTTGGCAGGCTATCCTAGAATTTGCAACAAAAATTAGGGGCATGGATGTCTGTATCAGTCCAGACAATATTACAGCTGTGGCCAACCTGAATCGTCAGGAAATACTTTTTTCACAAATAATGGAATGGGAAGAGATGTTCCTCAATTCAGTACATCAGAGGCTCAGAAAATAGTAGCACACAAATTGTCAAGGGAATTGGACCCAAAAGGACTGTTCGCGGTTTAAAGGGACACTATAGTCACCAGAACAACTACAGCTTATTGAATTTGTTCTGGTGAGTAGAATCATTACCTTCAGGCTTTTTGCTGTAAACACTGTTTTCAGAGAAAATGCAGTGTTTACATTACTTCCTAGTAATGTATAACTTCACTGGTCACTCCTCAGGTGGCTGTTAGAGATCCTTCCTGGGTCATGGCTGCCTAAAATGTATCCAGACATTCAGTATCTCCTCCCTCTGCATGCAGACACTGAACTTTCCTCATAGAGATTCATTGATTCAATTCATCTCTATGAGGAGATGCTGATTGGCCAGGGCTGTGTTTGAATCATGCTGGCTCTGCCCCTGATCTGCCTTAGTCAGTCTCAGCCAATCCTATGGGGAAGTACTGTGATTGGATCAGGCCACCACTTCTGATGATGTCAGAAGACTGTGTTTGTTTGTTTTTCTGAGGCAAACAGCATGCAGAGTTACAGCTTGAATACAGTAAGATGTTGCTATATTTATGGAGGCATGAGGGGCCCAGGGGGGCTAGATGTTGGTTTTAACACTATAGGGTCAGGAATACATGTTTGTATTCCTGACCCTATAGTGATCCTTTAAGTGAACTTATTCCTTCCAATAAATTCATATCTATTCTATCAATCTCATGGCAATTAGATCAAATAACAAGACAACCAAATTCAGGTCTGGTTCACCTGCCTCATGATTATCTGGGCATTCTAGATGCTTTAATATAGCATATTGCCACACGTTACAATGATTCCCACAGTCATGAAGAAAATTAAACCGGAAAAGACATCGGTATTGATCCCCTTTTGGCCAAGAAAACTCTGGTTTTCCTCTCTCTCATGTGAAGAGTTTGTTACTGGACCCGTCCCTCTTTCTCTAGATCGCATGGAACAAGGAGTCTCAATCAAAGAGTTGAAGATGATCCAGTTCACAAGCTTGGCTTCGGAACAAGATATCCCGTCTGCCAGAGGCATAGTTAAATTATTTATTTAAATTTTGCTACAAGCTAAAAAAAGTTCTAGGAAGGTTTTGCATTATGCAAAGCTAATCCCCTTTTTGCACGCATTACTTCTATTTTGCAGTTTCTGATTTCTTGCTTCAAGAAGCTTCTCAGCCCACGTTCCATTACAGGACAGATCTCTGCATTTGATTCATTATACTGTTATCCCCCCTAAAATAAGACATTTTCCGGCTAGTGCTTATATCACAAGCATCCACCGGGGGATAAGTGCTAGTTGCTAGTTGCAAGTTCGCTAATCTATGTTCAGGTAAATGTGTGAGGTTCCATTCGCTAGTAAGCTAATCTATGTTCAGGGAAGTTTCCCCCAAACATAGACTGGCTTTCTAGCACATCCTGCTATTGTTTTTCCCAGATATGAAACCTCCTCCGAAAATAAGCCCTAGTGCGTTTGGGATGGGGAGGGGGGAATTTTATATAACCCGGTCTTATTTTTGGGAAAACATGGTAACTATATAATATTGTTGACAATATTTATATTAGAAAATGTATTAGTCATTTCAAACATAAAACCCAGAATATGGTAACTCTTTAGTCCATGGGACTTTAACCTTGTTTTATCAGGTTTATTTGAACCTCTTGAAGCCATTTCTTCAATTGCTAACTGAAAAAGATGTCTTTCTGCAAAAAATACTTGTAGAAATTCGATTCAATTGCTAGGTGGCTTAAAAGAACTCTATAGTCACCAAAACAACTTTAGCTTAATAAAGCAGTTTTGGTGTATAGATCATGCCCCCACAGTCTCACTGCTCAATTCTCTGCCATTTAGGAGTTAATTCACTTTGTTTATGCAGCCCTAGCAACACCTCCCTGCATGTGCTTACACACCCTTACTAAACACTACTATAAAGAGTCATCTAATGTTTATACTTAATTGCAAATGTTGCTTGATTTAGAATTTTTCTCCTGCTTTATGTAATTAAAGTTCAATTTACAGATCCAAAAAGATTAAAATCCTAAAAGTAAATTACATTTGATTATAATGAAACCATATTTGTTTCATGGAGGCTATGCCAGTCACAGCCAGGGGAGGTGTGACTATGGCTGCATAAACAGAAACAAAAGTGATTTAATTCCTAAATGGCAGTAAATTGAGAAGTGAAACTTCAGGGGCATGATCTATACACAAAAACTGCTTCATTGAGCTAAAGGTGTTTTGGGTATAGCACATTTTACAGGGCTAATTTCTACATCTTGGGCAGCCAGAACTACTTCAACTCCAGAACAAATGTCTGCTGCTGCTACATTTAATTAATTATAAAGATACTCCCCACATTGAGTTGATACAATCCACCATCTAACAGTGAGAGTGCAGTGCTACAAAAGTGATATACAGACACTTACCCCTTCAAACAAATTCCAGGGGGTGTACCATATAGTAAAAAAAAATACAATAGGGTAATATTGTCTGGTTGGATGATCTAAACACCTATATGATGAACTCACATGGTCTAGAGCCTTTTCAAGATGTAGCCTCTAAACAGATATTCGTGCACTTTTTAGGTGGCAACCAAACCTCTGAAGCTCCAAACTTAGTAATGTACATCAGGTATTCATATGCAGAAAACGAATCAGATGAAAACAAGTATCTGGGTGCAGCATAATAAGCATCATAGGCGCAATCACTTCAGCTCATTGACATGGTCTGGGTGCACTGTCTTTACAATGTGTTTACATTGCAGCTCTGTCTGCCTCCAGTGGCTTTGGTCTGGTATCTGACAGTGGATTTTTTTCACCCATAGGACAGCATTGATTCAATGCTTTCCTGTGGGGAGGTCTAATGGTCATCAGAGAGCCACTAGAGGGACTTCCTGAATTGAAATGGACCTTTGGTCCGGTATAGGGCGCAGGATTTCCTCACGCTCTACATGAGGACTTACAGCATCAGATTTTTCCAATAGGAAAGCATTGAATAATGCTTTCCTATGGGGAGAGACTAATGCAAGCATGGCCACGCATGCACATTAGGTCAGCCGGCGGGGGAGGAGCATGGGCGGAGCCTGACCCAGCCCTGAGGGACATCGGTGATGGATTTAGGAAAGTGATTGAAGGGGTTTTAATCCCTTAAGCGCTGCGGGAGGCGCGAGGAAGGGGGCACCTTAGAAATCTATAGTGTTTTCCTGGCACTATAGAATCCCTTTAACACCACCCTCCTTTAACCGGATAAAAGGTGCACTGGGAGAGATATATAAAGCAAATACATTTCACCTCAATGTGGAAAGTATCTTTATTTAGTATATTTTCCTGGTTTGTTTGGAAAGACACTGTGTGTTCACAGCTGCGTGTATTTATAAAATAAAACTTCTATATTTTGAGCGCCTGTTCACTCATAAGTCTGTTTTTTTTGGTTTGTACATTTAATTCTTTGCATACCTTTTCAAAACATGACCGGTTTGATGTTGTTGCCTCTGAAGATGCCAGCTATAGGAGTAAAGTCCATAAGGCAGCAGTTTTCTTATACTTCTTCCATATGCTTTTTCAGTTTGTTACATCACATTGGTCACACTGCCACAACATATGGAAAAACTTAAGAAAAGCCAGACACATGAAAATGATGGCAATTTAATTTTATTACAGGAGACAGTGAAGGAGTTCTCACATTATGTACAGTAGTTACAGGAGTTTCGCCTGGTATTCAAACAACTTTTTTACATTTTTTTAACACACGTTTCACGATGGGGGGGTATTTATTAGCAATGCCCAATAGGGAATTCTAAGCCTAAAAAGGCAAACTGTGTCAAAGGGTTGGCGTGACACTTTAAAAAACTAGCCTTGTGTTAATCCTGTTGTTCCTTGATGAATGGGACCTTATGGCATTGCAAGATTCACCCAGATGCTGTGCTTTTTGCGGACTGAACCAACTGTGCATCTTTTTAATATTACCTTACTTTGTTGTTGCAAACCAAACATTTCTTTGTAGTGAATAAAACCACTAATTTCTTTAACTTTATGCTTTCTTATTTAGAAAAGAACTCTGGCCTGTTCTGGATAGGTATGTGAAATACAAGAAAGGTCGTGTGACAATCCCATGTGTCCCGGACATCATTGTTGCTACTGTGCTTCGACTTATTGGTAAGGTCTTTTACTGAGCAAACTTGATATGTGAATGAGTGATAACCATTAATGCCTGAAGCCTAGGTTAAATGCTTTGTGGCAGATTGTATTTTTTTTGTTTGTTTGTCCTTAATCCTTCTGAAGTAGTATTTTATTTTTTTTAGCTACTTTATTGGATATTTATATAATATATAACATCTATACAAACAATACTATTCAACCAGGTGAAGATTATACTCTGCACAGTTCGCAATACAGCAAATGCATTAATCATGGTAGAAAATTCTTAAACTGGCATCCAAGTTATACAATAAAGATTATATAACTATTTCTGTCCCAGATATTTTTATGTTATAGATATCCTAGAACTTGAAATATAAATTAATCAATATGAAAAAATCTTCTCCAGCATTCGTTCATCCATACTTTCATTCATACATTGTTCAAAACATATTGAACCTAAAACTTTGGAGATTCAGAAACACTTTATATTATGTATTGAGTGACATGGGCAAAGCTATCTGATGCAACAATTTGACATATCGTCCATCCCCAGCCTCAAATCCGTAAAAGGGTCAAAAGCCTGTTGCGGCGAGCATCAATCCCATTAGGGCTTAAAGGACCACTATAGTGCCAGGAAAACATACTCGTTTTCCTGGCACTATAGTGCCCTGAGGGTGCCAACACCCTCAGGGACCCCCTCCCGCCCGGCTCTGGAAGGGGGAAAGGGGTTTAAACTTACCTTTTTCCAGCGCTGGGCAGAGAGCTCTCTGCCTCCTCTCCTCCTCCGTTACGCCCCGCCGGCTGAATGCGCACGCGCGGCAAGAGCTGCGCGCGCATTCAGCCGGTCTCATAGGAAAGCATTTACAATGCTTTCCTATGGACGCTGGCGTGCTCTCACCGTGAAAATCACAGTGAGAAGCACGCAAGCGCCTCTAGTGGCTGTCAATGAGACAGCCACTAGAGGGAATAGGGGGAAGGCTTAACCCATTAATAAACATAGCAGTTTCTCTGAAACTGCTATGTTTATTAAAAAATGGGTTAACCCTAGAAGGATCAGGCACCCAGACAACTTCATTAAGCTGAAGTGGTCTGGGTGCCTAGAGTGGTCCTTTAATTATCGGCAACGATTTTAAACCATGGTGTCCAAATTTTATGATACAAGGTTATTTTTTGCGTAAAAATAGTATTCCATTTTTTCTTGAGATATATATATATATATATTTTTTATTATTCTTTATTTTTGTAGTGCATGCAATAAACATGCAGTCCTGCAAAGCCCCAACAGCAAGAATTAACATTGCACAAGACAATACAGTTCTAAGGCATGTGAGAAAAACTGCACAATTTTAGATAATATATTCAGGCTAGTCTGACCTGCCTAGACTTAAAGGGGCATTATAGTCACCCAACCCACTTCAACTCAATGAAGTGGTCTGGGTGCCGGGTCCCTCAGGTTTTAACCCTTCACATGTAAACATAGCAGTTTCAGCGAAACTGCCATGTTTACATAGCAGGGTTAATCCAACCTCTAGTGGCTGTCTTCCTGACAGCAGCTAGAGGCGCATCAGCGATGCTGGATGCAAAATTTGCATCCAACGTGCAGAACGTCCATAGAAAAGCATTGAGAAATACTTTACTATGGACTGTTTGAATGCGCGCACGACATTTGCCGCGGATGCACATTCTGCTCCACTCGGGAGCTGACGTCTGCAAGGGAGGAGAGGTCACCAGCGCCGAGGGAGCCCGGTGCCGGCTTAAGGTAAGTATCTGGAGGGGGGACCCTGAGGGTGGGGGCACCCTTAGGGCACTATAGTGTCAGGAAAACGGGTTTGTTTTCCTGACACTATAGTGATCCTTTAATTTAGAATCTAAGCTGATCAGCTATGAAGGCTTTCTAGACGAGTGATAACTGTTTTAATAAGAAGGAAAATGTAGGATTATCAGAATGCCCTCTTGATACGACTATATAAAGAATAGCACAGTGCTTTGCAGAGTCACTGCGAGGAAGTATCGTAGCGTGAGACGGGTTCGGCCGCCTCCCCCGCCTGGCGCTTTCACCAGGCCACACCGTGCCCAATCCGAGAAACCAGAGGCTGACACTGGGTGGCACCGGGTCAGGAATTCACACTCTGAATCAGGAGCAGATAAGTCACAAATAGGGTCAATTATAAACTCAGAGCAATTAGTTTGCTTAAAAGTGTACAAGATGAGGAGCTCTCTGAAGATGCATCTAGCTGCCATGAGGCCCTGTACACTTGGACTTGGTTATTAATTAAGCTATTTGAAGAGCTTACTAGGGCCCAAAATAAACTTGTGTCTAAGGTAGCCCTTTCCACCAGCCGAGCAATTGCTGAATTTTGTGGGTCCCTCTTATTCTCACTGCAGTGGAGATGGATAGAGTCACGGCATTGGTTCCTGAGTGTTATAAATATGTTCATAAAATCTGGGGACCATGGTTACAAAAATCCATTTCACACCACCCAGGCATCTTTTCCAACATTTCTGCCTTAGCTGTGAATTTCACTTTGTGGGCGCTAGTCTTTCTTTTAATTTTTATCTTTTTCCTTTCCTTTTCAAGAGTTTACCTAGGACTTTGCTTTCCTCTCTTCCTTCTCTTGCTTTCCTCTGTTCTTTCTCTCTTGTTATCTATCCTTCCAATTGTTCTTTTGCAAATCTAACTTTTTTTTTTTTGTTTTTAGCAAAATGAACCCTATTATTTTCACTTCTCATATTGGAGCATTGTTTTTCCCTCCCCCCCTCCCCCCTTTTCTTATTTGTATTTATTTTGAGTTGTGTAGCATTACTGGTTTATCTTCCTCGATTTCACTGATTTACTCTGTAAACTGATTACTAATCGGATCGTTGTACACTCAATGGATTATTTCGTCCATATTTGTAATATCTCCAGCTGTGTTTGCATCTCAGTATACTTAGGATAGTTTCCTAGGCTTCTAAAAATGTATATTAACCCACATGTCTGACTTACGAGCCACTTTTCTTCAGTGATTGTATTTTACCCCTTTTTTTTAGTTTGTACTACTACTGGTCTCGTTTTGTTTTTTGTTGTGGGTAATGTTTCTGTCCATGTCACTTTGTTTTGTCGGGAGTAAAAATCAAACAGATTATTAAAAACCAAGACTGAATCTTGTGTGCCAGATGAACGAGGCAATGTTTCTGTATGCACTCTCTATGTATAATGCACATTTTATACTATGTGTTGACAAGGCACCTTATGTCCCCCTCCACTCCCTTTTCCTTTCTGTACACCTGATTATTTTACAAAATCAATAAACCTCTTAATGGGGAAAAAAATAAAACAAATCTAAGACTAACACTTTGACTGTGAAGGGTGAATCCAAGCACCATGATAACTTTAGTGATTTGAAATGGTCAATGTACATGGAGTCTGATTCTGTGTGGCAATTCAGATTGAAATGCTGCTCATACATCACAAAAGCCTTTTGTTGAGTGCATCCAAGTTCTCCTACATCGAGAGGAGTGTGGAGGGTCCATGGCACAACAATCAGGAGTGGATTTTAACTCGCTATGGGGAAGTGTAACATTTTAATACAAAACATGCTTTGTGTTCATTCATTTTTTGTTTTTATTTAAAGTAAAAGTAATTTTCTCTTCCATATGTTAACTGGTATAATGCATGTATAGAAATTCTTTGTTGTATATTTGGAGCTTTGTCTAACAATACTTTACGTATATATTATGTTTATATTTTGTCATGTAATTTGCTTTCTTTATAGTAAACTGTGATATCTGTATTACAGGCCGTTTGTGTCAAATTGGCTTGAAAGAAGGGCATGTCACGACTGTGAAAAACATTGCTTCTGTTATCATCGCCTTTATTCAACATGCAAAAGAAGAAGGTAATATTCGTGTTTAAAATATTAAAATTTACCCGTATGTTCTTTATTATAACACACCAGAAATAAACGAAGTATGAACAAAAACCTAATTAGGATTACCACTGCACCGCTGATTGGTTAAGGATAGCAGATATTCGTAAATGTCTAAATGTGTTTAAGTTCACTATACTGTGTTTTCCGTGAAAATGGGGCTTCATCTTGCCATATTATTCATCAGTTTTGCCACTGTATCTTAGGAATCATCAAGCTGTAAAAAAAGAGCCCCCAAAAGTGAATCACCGCTTCCTGCAAAGACATAATTTTCAAACTGTATATCCATTCATCACAGTGCTTTCCCATAGGATTCTGATGATCTCAGCCAAGGAGGGCAGCGCCAAACACAAACCTGACCAATCAACATCTCCTTATAGAGATGCATTGAATCAGACTGAGTGGGTCAGTCAGGGCAGTAGAAGCTGGTTTTAGTCCTTATGCCCCCCTGATAACAGGCCTTGCATCTCTTCTGTAGGGCTTTTTTTATGGGGGTTGGCAGAATTGCAAAGCAGAAATGAGCTGCCCCAATTCTTCTGACAGAGACCCCAGCACATGGCTGCAATAGTAGTCTATGGAGCTGCCAGCACGGGGACTGTCTGAGCTGTCAGGCAGTCCCCCAGGCTGCTAAAAAGTGAAAAAAAATTAAATATATGTATAATATATTCTAAAATAATTAAAGCATTTTACAATATATATAATACATATTTCACTCCACCCATATATTATAAGTTTTATACACTATATATACTCTATATATGTATAATATATTCTAAAATGCTTTAAAGTGATGCTATAGTCACCTGAACAACTTCAGCTTAATGAGGTTGTTCAGGTGAGAACTATAGCTCCCTGCAGCCTTTCTCATGTAAACACTGTATTTTCTGAGAAAATACAGTGTTTACATTGAAAGCTGGGAACTCCTCCAGTTGCAGTCACTCAGAGTGAACCAAAGGGACTTCGGAGTTGATGGAGGCATAATATGCCTCCATCCACTCAGATCTGCTGTCAGCAGAGCACAGGGCAGCACTGTGCACAGCATCCTGTGATTCAGTATCTCCTCCCTCTGCATGCAGACACTGAACTTTCCTCAGAGATTCATTGATTCAATTCATCTCTATGAGGAGATGCTGATTGGCCAGGGCTGTGTTTGAATCATGCTGGCTCTGCCCCTGATCTGTCTCTTTGTCAGTCTCAGCCAATCCTATGGGGAAGCACTGTGATTGGATCAGGTTAACACATGTCAGCAGACTGATTGGTTTTCTGAGTCTAACAGAATGCAGATTTACAGCTTCTGGCTTGAATGCAGTAAGATTTTTACTATATTTATGGAGGCATGAGGGGCCCAGGGGGACTAGATGGTGTTGTTAACACTATAGGGTCAGGAATACATGTTTGTGTTCCTGACCCTATAGTGATCCTTTAATTATAATATATTCTACATATATAGGAATAAAAGTGTGTGTGTCTATACACACACACACTCCCTCTACCCCTCCCTCTCCCCCTCCCCTTCCTGGAAATGAATTACACTTTGCTCCTCCGCTGGTCAGAGATGGTCATGCGTAGGAAACCTCCATAAGACAAAGTCCCTACTTTGTCTTATGTTTTAAAGAAAACTAGAGCAGACAGGAAGAAATGAAGAACAGATCTTGAGAGAGGGAGAGAAGAGGAATCGATTAAAGAAAGGTAAGTTCGGCATGACAGTGCCACTTTAACTATTAAAAGTTACACTTTAACATCGAAGGGACATTTATCATTCGGCACACTTTTCCCCTTATGTTTCCCTTGAATAAGAGGGAAACCCACTCTTAAAGGGACACTATAGTTTCCAGAACAACTACAGTTTGAATTTGTTCTGGTGAGTATAATCATTGCTTTCAGGCTTTTTGCTGTAAACACTGTCTTTTCAGAGAAAATGCAGTGTTTACATTACAGCCTAGTAATGTATAACTTCGCTGGCCACTCCTCAGATGGCTGTTAAAGATCCTTCCTGGGTCATGGCTGCCTAAAATGCATCCAAACATTCAGTGTCTCCTCGCAGAGGCATGCAGACACTGAACTTTCCTCATAGAGATTCATTGATTCAATTCATCTCTATGAGGAGATACTGATTGGCCAGGGCGTGTTTGATTTGTGTTTGGCTCTGCCCCTGATCTGCCTCTTTGTCAGTCTCAGCCACTCCTATGGAGAAGCACTGTGATTGGATCAGGCTACCACTTCTAATGATGTTAGCAGACTGCTTGCTGGTCTGAGGCAGACAGGGCAGAGCCAGCAGCTTCAGGCTTGAATACAAGTAAGATTTTACTATACTTAGGGAGGCATGAAGGGCCCAGGTGGACTAGATGGTGGTTTTAACACTATAGGGTCATGAATACAGGTTTGTGTTCCTTTTAGGATATTTCACCCTATTCCTTTCTTTCTCCTGTTTTTTCTTTGTTTCTAGTAGATTTTTGGTTAATCCACTAGGGTTTAACCCCCACCCAGGAGAAACCTATCTGGTATATTACACATTACACGCACACACATTCTACATATATATTTAACTATTAATTACATAATTATTTGAGGACCTGCCAGACAGTCCAGAGAATTTAATTGGCAAGCTCTATATTTAACCCCGTAAAACACCATAAAACTTTAACATAGGGGTTATTGTTATACTCTGGAGACTTTACTGAACACGAATATGAGTATATGAATATAAAAATATCTTATCACGATATCACATCACCAGTAAAAGTGCCATTTGGTATAAAAAAAAAATGCCAAAAAACAAATAACTCTAACTTTGGTTAGCGTTTGTGAGTGCATACTACAAAAGACTGGAAATACCCCATTTTGAATACCCTGGGTTGTCTACATTTGAAAATGGTATGCCATGATGAGATTAGTTCACATTCCTGGACTACCATATGGTCTCAAAAAAATAGACCCAGAGAACGAATCTGGCAAACTGAATTGGGCCTATTTTGACCGTGTAACTTTCCAAAACACCATAAAAACCTCTACATGGGAGGTATTGTTAAACAAATATGAGTGTTTAAAACAGTAAAACGTATCATGACTATTAAGTCACCAGTAGAAGTTCAGTTTTTGTGTAAAAATAAAAAAATGCAAAAAAACAAATATGAATGCTAAGTGACTACTACAAAAGACTGGACATATCAGATTTTGATTACCCTAGGTTGTCTACTTTTTCAAATGGTATGTCATGGTGGAGTTAATTTACATTTCTGGGCTGCCATACTGTCTCATAGGCAACATAGTCCATCTGGCAAATGGCAATTTACAAAAACAGAAATTGGCAAATCTTATGTTTGACCTTGTAACTTTCCAAATCACAATAAAACCTTTATTTGAGGGGTACTGTTGTACTCGTAAGACATTACTCTACGTAAATGAGTGTTTTAGAGCGGTAAAATGTATTATACTGATATCATCGGTGAAATTGCAGTTTGTGTGAAAAATGCAAAAAAAATAAATAAATCTATAAACGTACTTATTTTGGCCAGGGTTTGTGACTAATAAAGGCTGGACATACCCCATTTTGAATACCCTGGGTTGTCTACATTTAAAAATATGCCATGATGGGGTTAATTTTCATTCCTGGGCTACCATATGGTTTCAAAGGCAACATAGGCCGAGCAAATCAATCTGGCAAATTTTAATGTGCAAAAATGGAAAAGTGGAAATCCCTACATTTGACCCCTGTAAGTTTGCAGAAACTCCTAAAACCTGTACATTGGGGGCACTGTTGTACTCGAGAGATGTTGCTGAACACATATTGGGGTGTTCTTTGTCAGTAACACATAACAGGAACTAAGAATCCATGCAAATGACTACCCAAAAGTTTGACAATGACTGGTGGTAGAATTAGTGCATGGAAAGTGTTAAAATACCACCATTTGAAATACTCTAGGGCAGGGGTAGGCAACCTTACATTAGTACTGTGACAAAATAAAATGTTGGTGTGCCGGTCCTATTTTTTTAAAATTGAGTTATGTATGTTGCACTTGTCTTATTTATGGGTGTTGCAGTTGTTTTGTAGCGCTGTATCTGTGTGTATGTGGGCTGCTATATTGTATATAATCATAGCTTGTGGTATTGTGTACGATACTTATGTGGCCTGTGTATGGTGGCTGTTTATTGAATTGTGGGTGTGGATATGTCATATTGTGTTTGGTGTGGGTGTGTGGGGCTGTTTGTGGTATTCCATGTGAGGCTTTTTGTGGGGTTGTGTGCGTGTATGTGGATTGTCAGTGGTGTTGTTTGTATGTGGGCTGTTTGTATTATTTGTATGACTTGGAGGCTTCTTCTGCAGCTCTGTGTATATCTTGCAGTGTGGGTGGCTTCCCGAGGGTCTCGTGAGAACTGGGCTGGCCATGTACAGGTCAAGGGCAGAAGCTCCGATTGCTGTTGTGGACTGCTCTACTCCAGTGTGGATTTCTGTTCATAAGTGCTGTAATCTATAAATTGAGAATTGTCCTTCATCACCTTTTTGCACTAGCAGAAATCTGAAGATCCACTGTGACTCCTGATAGGCCACACCTGTTTTGGCTCTAGCAGCCTTGAGTGCTGTGCAAAAGCACCTAGAGTGCCATTGGCTGCCTACCCCTGCCCTAGGGTATCTAATTTTCAAAAATATATGGTTTGATGGGGGTAAACTACATTTGCCGCTTCCAAAATGTCCCAAATAGGACATGGGTGCATGATGACGTCTGTAAAAATTTGTTGTAAAACTGGAATGCGCACCCTCCAAATAAGGTATTTTAGCCCCCAGAGAACCCAACACACCTATACATGGGGGTATCACTGTACTCAGGAGATGTTGCTGAACACATGTTGGGGTGTTCTTTGGCAGTAACCCTTAAAGATTTCCGTACATGTATTCTTAAATTGCTATTTGTGTCAAAAAAATCACCATTTTTTAAATTAATTTGGCATAGATTGGTGGTAAAATAGTTGCATGAAAAGAGTCAAAATACTCCAAGTGTAATACCTTAGGTTGTCTTCTTTTAAAAATATATACATGTGAAGGGTTATTCAGGGGTTCCTGACTAATATCAGTGCTACTTGTACTTATTGCCCTATAACGTTCCAAAAAAAGCTAAAAACATGTTAACATTGGGTATTTATAAACTCAGGACGAGATTTAGAAACTTTGTATCATGGGTGTTTTTTGGCGGTTGTAGATGCCTAACAGATTTTGGATGTCAAAGTTAGAAAAGGTGTTTGTTTGTTAAATTTTTTCATCATATTTTATAAAAAGTCTATAGTAAGTTATATAATATGATGAAAATGGTGGTATCTTTAGAAAGACCATTTAATGGCAAGAAAAACTGTATAGCATATGTGTGGATACAGTAAATTAGGAAGAGGAACATTTACCACTAAACACAAATTACAGCCCTGGTCCTTAACGGTAAGAAAATTGAAAAACGGTCTGGTCACTAAGAGGTAGAATTCACTGTACTGTCTTCTGTGAAAACGGGGCTTCATTTTGCCATATTATTCACCTGTTTTGCCACTGTATCTTAGGAATCTTCAAGCTGTAAAATATAAAAAACAAAAACAAACGTGAAACACCGTTCACTGCAAATACATCATTTTCAAAATGTATATCCATCATGCATCACAGAGCTTTCCCATAGGATTCTTATGATCTCAGCCAAGGAGGGCAGCGCCAAAAGCAAACCTAGCCAATCAGCATCTCCTTATAGAGATGCATTGAATCAGGCTGACAGGCCTTCAGGGCAGTATAAGCTGGTTTCTGTCCTTATGCCCCCCTGATAACAGTCCCTGCATCTCCTCGGTGGGGCTTTTTTTTTTTCTGGGGCTTTGCAGAATTGTGTAGCATGAAATGAGCTGCCCCAATTCTTTCCCTTGCGAAATCTACTGATGGACCCCCATTTTAGCTCTCTGTTCACAATCCTGAAATCACCTGAAGCTGCTAAGTTAGGAATGTATATTTCAGTTCAGCATTTGCCTTATGGTATAGAATATAGGTATTTTGGGTTGCCCTCTGCATTAAATAAATGCCCACTTTTTTAATATCATGCCATGTTTTCCTCATGATCAGGTACGGCATCATTAACTGATCTGACCGGTCTGCTCCCCCCAATTTGCCTTTTACACGGTTTAGTACAGGCTGGTACTTGCCTGGTCTCCCCTCTGCCGTGGACTGTGACTTTGCTGTTCATGTATCTTGGTCAGCATGTACACCTCCTTGTTGTCAAACTTCACTGCCACCAATTCTTCTGGCATAGAGCAACTAATTTGCCCCATTTCAGTCTCTTTTGTGCTACTCCTTATGGGAAGCAAATATGTGTTTTTCCTAATGTGCCACAGTTTCAAAACCGTGAAGTACTTTTAATAGTGGGATACTATTATAGAAATTATTGTTGTACAGGTGATATCCCTTGTTTAAAATGGGGTTCAAAAGGTCCCATACAATTTTTCCACTTGTCCCTATAATTTATGGGCAACCTGGGGGAATCGTAGTGGCTGTCCTTTTCCTTATATACACGAAAGCGATTTATGTATCCACTACCAGTTTTGCAGAATTTATACAGCTTATATACATATTTACATATATCACCCTTTGGTGTTTATAATATGTTCTCTGACTTACGTTGCATCTAAAGTATTGGTTTGTTTTTATTTTAGATATACCCTGGGGTGTTCAGTTGGCTTCTGTGTACATGCTTTGTGATGTCGCCCCAAGTGACCCAGCTGTCATATACAAGACACTACAATCATGGAGAGAGACCACCACCAATGACATGCCGCCTGCCATCACAAAGAGCCTAGCACAGGTTGCATCTCTGTGCAAATAAAAGGAATCTTTATTTTCGTATTGTTCACCAAAGTGCAAATGGTACCTAATATGCAGGTTCTGTTGTACAAATGGATATAAGTGCCTTTATTGCTTGTTTTGTTTTTGGATGAGGGGGGGTTGTGGGTTTTTTTTTTGTTTGGTTTTGTTTTTTATGTTTGCACCTTTTTGCAGTATAAGGAAAAGAGCCATTAACTGGTTATACAATTTTACTACTTTAGCACACACTTCAGGGCTACATTGTAAATGTGTAAATTGTAATATGTCTTGTAAATGTTTTGTAGAATAATTTGTGTTAAAATGCTTTCCTAAGAGTTCCTTACCAGAAGCAGGTAGGTTCTTGTGTTGAAAAGGGAATCCATAGAAGGTTGATTTTGACATCTGTTATTAACAACATGATCTTTCAGTTTACTTCTAATAGAATGTCTGTAGATTATGGTTGTTGAACACTCCTGATAGACACTATATATTTTTCTGTGTATTTTTATTTCTTCCTTACATTGGGCATATGCTTGTTTAGTGACTTCATAATCCCCTTTTGACTGGCAAGCAGTTTCAGAAGAAAAGGACTAACAAAGTCTGATTCTGCAATTGGGGACAATTAATTGAATATTCTTTGATCCTGATTTAGTTAGAGGCCTTATCTGATGATGTATTTTCCCTTGGTGCAAGCGTTTTCTAAATGTAAATACAGAACAAAGATTGTTATTCTACAAAACTTTTTTTGATTAAGCTAGAGCTGAGAGAACAAAAAATGAAAGTTCTGTATAAGAGTTTAACCATAACACACGAGCCTTGTAGAGACGTACAACCAAAAGGGATAGGAACAAAGCCGCTAATAAATGCAACTTATCATTTACTCAAATATTAAAAGCCGATCAGAGCACCCCCAACCCATTCTCTCCCTGTAATTAAAGTACAATCCGTACAAATATATTTTTATTTTATTTTTTCTGGAAATTTTTACAAATTACTTTGCTAACAAAATATTTTTGATTTGTATTTTGATTATAACCTAGGCAACTCACAGATATGCTCTTGATTGTTTGAATTAATTTTAAGTTGCATTCATTAACTGCTTGTCTTACTTCTTTTGGCTATTTCTTATAACAATGGTATATAATCATTCAGCTGTTGCATGTGAAGGCACCCAAATACCAATTCCTTCGTTTAAATCTGACTCATATTTAGTTTTTTGTTGGGTGACAGTCATTTGTCCATAATCCTTCAAATGCTGTTCTTCCTACTCTCAAGTATGGGGAAGAAAACACATTCTCAACTGCAAAAATCTTAAAATATGATTTAATGCAACCATTTGTATATCGCTTGAGCAGTTTCAGCTAGAATATGGTAAATATATAAAACACTGTCTTGCATCTTTCATCTTTAGCTGGTCATCATTGCGAAGGGAATACTACGAAAGGGCAAATAGACAAAGGCATATGTTTTCTAAGGTTAGTGGAGTAAGTGGGACAATGGCAGATAAATAGCAGCTTCCAAATAATTTTACAGATACAAATATTTTGTTTATTCTTTATCACAGTTTCCTGATAAAGAAACAATGTAACTTTGACTACCCTAAGCAGATTTCATTACTGGAGGTATTATGTCAATTACATCAATGTAGTACTTAATATATATATATAAAAGCAGTTTAGCTTTGTTATCTAAACAATCAAGATTCTGTACTGTTTTGGATTTAGGTTAAATGCTGTTTACGAGCACTAAAACTCTACACCTAGTTTAAATATTTTTGAAAAAAAATACATTATTCTAGAAGCTCTATAACATGAACCCAATGTGTGCAGTTTGGGACTGGAAAAAAAAGGAAAGTGGAACAAATTAACTGAAAAGCCGAGCTCACAATTTCAGTGCACATATATCAACCAACATTTTCTGATGTAGATTGCATTTTAATATATAAATGTAGAATAATATATTAATTATTTTGTTCTGTTTTATCATGTCAAAACTGTTAATTTTAAAGCCTTCAGTTAAAGACTTAAGCTCATATATTAAAATATTCCATAATACTAACCATTTTGTTTTACACAATCCAGCATTGTGTTTAAAGTCCTGCTGGTGTATGTTTAAAAATAAACATGTAACCGCTAAAATATCTTTATTTTTCATTATTACGAACTTTTCCTTTTCTTGGTTACTGCTGCTCGTGTAAATGGGAATTATCTCTTTGTACAGTTTTTAAGAAAAAGAAAATGAAAAACAGAAAAATATTCATAGATGACTGGGGAATCCCTATGAATGAATGTATTTATAGTATAGGTCTATAATGTGATTCACATTTTATGTTATTCCACTTTGGGAATTTTAGTTTCTGTACATAGAGACTAATGTGTAACTACTTGCTTTTGATTTGTTTGGTATGCATCTGAGATGCTTTGTAATAAAACTGAAACCTGACCAAAAGTGGTGTCTTATTTGGTGAACATTGTGCATGAAATAAATGACTGTGTCGCGAGGAATGAAGTCTCTAATCTGCTGAATTTGCTTTGTTACTCCCCCCCCACAAAAAAAAACATTGCTGACCCATACCCTGTCTGTGCATTAGGATGCCGACCTGACACTGTGTAATGTGTGGGGGGGTGACAGTGTTCAATTAGCTTCTCCAAACTGTATCTGTGGAATTAAGACATATCAAGACACAGCCAGGCGGACAAAACTACAGTAATAAAAGGCATTTGGAGAAAAAAAAGCAAGACTGCTCACAAGTTGGACTATCTACCTGAAATCGGCATGCCTGTCTGTTTCTCTATTCCTACGCATTATTTAGCTCACGGGAAGATCAGATACCTGTGTCTTGGTGAGTTAAGTATTTTCCATGCTCACACGCTATAGCATATATGTTTGAATGAAGATGCGCACCTGAAATGGCAGCTTGCCGACGCATGATTTGTCTGTTAGATATGAAACATCACATTGCAGACGCACCCGCGAGGCATACACCTGGTATTTACATACACACTCGACGCACCCACCTCCCTACCTGTGTTGGGGACACAGGGCCCGATTCATGCTACACACTAGGGCAGGGGTAGGCAACCTACGGCACTAGTGCCATGCACGGCACTCGAGGTGTCTTTCCACGGCACTCAAGGCTGCTAGTGCCAAACAGGCTCTGGCCTATCAGGCGTCTCAGTGAAACTTCAGATATCTGCTAATACGAAAAGGTGGTGAAGGAAAATCCTCAATTTATGCATTGCAGAACGTAGAGAAAGTGACCTCAGATCAGTTCCTCCCAGCACTTGTGAATGGGAATCCACACTGTAGTAGAGCAGCCTGCAGCTGCTGTTGCAGCTCTTGTCCTTGACCTGTACCTGGCCAGCCTGGTCTCCACTGGAACCCAGGGAAGCCACTCACACTGCTAGATATAGAGACCTGCAGAATAAGCCTCCCCTCATACAAATAACACAAACAGCCTACACCCAAACACACACAATCCGCTTAAACGCAACATCACTAACAATCCACATACATGCACACAATCCCACATTCAGCCTCTCACATGCAATACCCCAAACACACAATGTGACATATCCATCCACATCGTCATGCATGAAGATGATTTTATTACGGAAAGCATAGTTCTTCCTTCTGTACCAGGGAAGAAAGTGATCAGTCAGAAACTCCACATACTTTGCAGAGGTCATCTTTACACCTTCGGGGACCTCTCATCCCATGATTCCGGCCCAAAACATGACTCCACCACCGCCTTGCTGACGTCACAGCCTTGCTGGAACAGGGTGGCCCTCCACCAACTATCCACTACTCCATCCATCTGGACCATCCAGGGTTGCACGGCACTCATCAGTGAACAGGACGGTTTGAAAATTAGTCTTCATTAGAGTTGAGCGGACACCTGGATGTTCGGGTTCGGCCGAACTTCGGAAAAAAGTCCTGGTTTGGGCTCGAAATTGAAGTCAATGGGGACCCGAACTTTTGTGCACAAAAATGCCTCTAAAAAAGTCCTGGAAAGGGCTAGAGGGCTGCAAAAGGAAGCAAAATGGGGGTAAGAGTAGGACAAGTGCCCTGCAAACAAATGTGGATAGGGAAATCACTTAAAATAACATAAAATACCTAAAAATTAAAAATACAGCTGAGCCATAAAATAGCACTAGATGGAATCTTTGCTTTTAGCTTTGGAAGAACATAAATCAAAATCTAAAGCATGGCTGTCAGGATGATCACCAGAATTATCCATTTGAGAGAGGGTTGGAGTGCAGGGTATTCTCATTTATTTTTCAAACTGAGCTCAACTCCTGATGCATGGAGAAAAATCCTTCACAAGCCTCTGCTATTGTGTACATAGTTTATACTAAGTGACCCATAGATTGAGGAGGCGGTGACCGTGGCGGTGTAGGTGGAAGCAGCGGTGGAGGAGGAGGAGGTAGCCAACACTGTTTTTATTTTTTTTTGCTTTTGTTTTTTTTTAATTGGGGTAGCCCCCAAAATATTGGGACATATAAAAATAGAAAACAAAGAATAATTGCACTTGAGTATAACAATGGCTGGGTGAGGCCGGTATAAATGTCTATTCTGCACAAGGTACAGACAATTCTGGTGGGATCCATGCCTAGTTCATTTTAATAAACGTGAGCTTGTCTACGTTGGCTGTGGACAGGCGGCTGCGCTTGTCTGTGATAACGCCCCCTGCTGTGCTAAACACACGTTCAGACAATACACTGGCTGCAGGGCAGGCCAGCACCTCCAAGGCATAAAGGGCAAGCTCAGGCTATGTGCCCAATTTGGAGACCCAGAAGTTGAATGGGGCAGACCCATCAGTCAGTACGTGTAGGTGTGTGCACACGTACTGTTCCACCATGTTGCTGAAATACTGCCTCCTGCTAAGATGTTCCATATCAGATGGTGGTGCTGGTTGTTGTGGCGTGCTGACAAAGCTTTTCCACATTTCGGCCATGCTAACATAGAAACATAGAATGTGACGGCAGATAAGAACCATTCGGCCCATCTAGTCTGCCCAATTTTCTAAATACTTTCATTAGTCCCTAGCCTTATCTTATAGTTAGGATAGCCTTATGCCTATACCACTCATGCTTAAACTCCTTTACTGTGTTAACCTCTACCACTTCAGCTGGAAGGCTATTCCATGCATCCACTACTCTCTCAGTAAAGTAATACTTCCTGATATTATTTTTAAACCTTTGTCCCTCTAAATGTGTCCCTCTAACCCTGCCTTCTCCTAAGGATAACAAAATATCTCCTACTATCCTGCTTTATTATGTGTTTGTTGCCACCTTCTCATCAGTATCCTGCCTATTCCATATCTCCTATTGCACATCAGTCTAATAAATTTGACTATACGGTTTAGCATAATGTGTACTATTTACAATATGTTTATATTTGAATGTAGGTACTGACATGGTTGGCCTAGGAGGTCACGAGGTTTGTGTGGTGAGCATTTAGGTAAGTTAATACATGCATTGTGCAAAAGAGTGCTGATAATGCAATGAGGCATTGTGAAAAAGAGTGCTAATAATGGATGTCCTGGCTGTATAAAGTCTGCTGGAATTCCACAGTCCTGAAGACAGAGTAATATCCAAGGTAAAACTTTCCTGGGTGTCTGATTGAAGTACACACATGTATATGACAGGTTTTAAAACCTAAAAATAAGTCCACACACACCCTTGTTTTTATCAAGGCATGTGGCATTGATTGCTGTTATCTGTGAATTACCGCAAATAAGTAGGCTTTTCCAGAGAGTGGTAGAATTTCTGCAAATGAGATCTCTGGGCCTCAGTATCTGTACATGAACTGATTGTGGTACAGCTTCGGTATGTTTCCAATCTGTGCTCTAATGTATGAATTGGTATGCTTGATGTATTGGTGGATATGCTCTATGTATGAGTTTCTGTGACATTATATGCTCTATGTATGAGTTACTATGAGGACACAGCCTCAGTATATGTACCCACTATATGCTCTATGTATGAGTTACTATGAGGACACAGCCTCAGTATATGTACCCACTAAATGCTCTATGTATGAGTTACTATGAGGACACAGCCTCAGTATATGTACACACTATATGCTCTATGTATGAGTTACTGTGAGGACACAGCCTCAGTATATGTACCCACTATATGCTCTATGTGTGAGTTACTATGAGGACACAGCCTCAGTATATGTACCCACTATATGCTCTATGTATGAGTTACTATGAGGACACAGCCTCAGAATATGTACCCACTATATGCTCTATGTATGAGTTACTATGAGGACACGGCCTCAGAATATGTACCCACTATATGCTCTATGTATGAGTTACTATGAGGACACGGCCTCAGTATATGTACCCACTCTATGCTCTATGTAAGAGTTACTATGAGGACACAGCCTCAGTATATGTACCCACTATAGGCTCTATGTATGAGTTACTATGAGGACACAGCCTCAGTATATGTACCCACTATATGCTCTATGTATGAGTTACTATGAGGACACAGCCTCAGTATATGTGCCCACTATATGCTCTATGTATGAGTTACTATGAGGACACAGCCTCAGTATATATATCCACTATATGCTCTATGTATGAGTTACTGTGAGGACACAGCCTCAGTATATGTACCCACTATATGCTCTATGTATGAGTTACTATGAGGACACAGCCTCAGTATATGTACCCACTATATGCTCTATGTATGAGTTACTGTGAGGAAACAGCTTCAGTATATGTACACACTATATGCTCTACGGATGAGTTACTGTGAGGACACAGCCTCAGAATATGTACTCACTATATGCTCTACGTATGAGTTACTGTGAGGACACAGCTTCAGTATATGTACCCACTATATGCTCTACGTATGAGTTACTGTGAGGACACAGCCTCAGTATATGTACCCACTATATGCTCTATGTATGAGTTACTGCGAGGACACAGCCTCAGTATATGTACCCACTATATGCTCTATGTATGAGTTACTATGGAGACACAG